CAACGAGAGGCTTGCGCATCCCAGCCACGAAAGGAGCTTGGTCCACCTTCCCCTCATCCCTAAAGGCTAGCTTCCGAGGATCCTCATGAGCCTCCTCCCATCGTCATGTAGGGTTGGTCCTGGTATCACGAGCTAGGTTAAACCGGCACGATTTTAGAGAGTTGGAAAGTGTGAAGGGAAGGGAGGGGGGGGGGCTGAAGCGTCGATAGACCGGGTTCAAAGTGAGTGGAGGAGGACGGGAAGTCAAAAGTTTGACTGCATTGGTTTTACACGCTTGGGCCATGGTCGCGATCTCGACCTTTCGGTTTCTTATTTTCATTTTCATTATTTTATTAATTTCTTTTCCATTTTTATTACGGGTTTTCTCACTGTTTTGCTTTATCTTTCCCTCCTTTCTTATGTTACTTTTCTTCTTCTCCTTCTGTTTTTCGCCCCCCGTCAAGGATATGGCTTCGGCCAAGGACGCCCTCACGCCATGTTGATTTTCCGGTGCAGTGAAAACAACCCTGGAACAGAAAAATGCGGGATGTTAGGGTAGCAATAAGCCCCATTTTCTCTTCAAGAAGGCGATCCAGTACGACCATTGATGCTGTCCCCGGTTCGTATAGACCCATTGATCCCACAGAATCGTCCTAGGAAGGGCCCATCATTGGTATTGTCTCGGTCGACCCGAGCAAAGTATGTCAGACATGCGCGTAAGAAGAAACCTCCGAATCATAAGACACAAAGGTAAACTGAGCCAATGCAGGTGTAAAAGACAATGTAAGAATCGGCCTATGCAAGTGAGGCGAATAGGAAAGAGCCAAGATGGGGCTTTCAAGACCTGCTGAACGACAGAGAGAAACATATCCCATGATGGATTGGGTTTAAGTTTGAAGCCAGGGATGCCGCCCATCCCATCTCGTTGACCCTCGACCAGAACTTATCCGGCGAGCGCTCTCCCCTTGGTTTTAACGCAACGAAGAGAGGCTCTGTTTCGGTGTGCAAGACATGCCAAGAAATATCATGTCTTTTTCTATGTCTTAAACTTCTTCGACCTGGGCACGTTTTGCTTCTGGCCATGAAGAGCTGTACTTCTCGGCCCTCCGTTCGACCAGGCCAATTGGCTTGACTCGATCAATTGGTCGTCTTTCAAAGTTCCCCACGACTAACGGACTCATGAGGAGCGAGGATAGACCTTGAGCTCCTAATGGCGGATAGCGTAACCCTCAAGTGGTCATTGATCCCCAATTTCAAAGGATTCGCCCACGCGCACCTTGACTTACATATGACACACACACACAAAGACAAACAGACGCTTACAGTTGGCTCGTAAAACCTCCAAGACTACTTGGCCTGGCTTGGCTGACTGTCTCGTACTTGCACTGCACTGCACTACACTACACTACACAAGGGCCTGTAGTGCTACCACCCTCAGTCAGCTTTAGAGCCAGTATTCCCTTGCTATTGTAGTGCTCTCCACCCCGCACTCAGGCGAAACTCTATGCAACCCCGTTGGAGGGCAAAAAATGGGTGCGCCACTGCTCAAGCCTTCGACGGCGCAAGTAGCTTTTTGAATGGGTAGGGGTATCCGGCTAGAGCTGGATATCGTCGCCAATGAAGAAATTAGCCAAGGGAGACGCACTAAAGAGAAGTATGCAAACGAAGAGGGTGGGTGGGTTTGGGGGGAGGGGGAAGCACACTTCCAAGCCTCCAAGCATCCCCCCTCAAGTCCGTCCGTACCGGAAAGGCTATCGAGGGATTGAAGCTTAGATTGATGGTGGTAGCGTTGGTGATACTTGCTGCCAGCGGCGACAAATCGATCCATCCGTGCGCAGTAATCTTGCTGGCATTGAACACAAACTATTCGACAATTCATCACATTTAGAGCCTACGCCGCGGGCCTTTCTGGATTTAGCGCTTGACGAACTGGAGCTGCCAGTCGCTTCAAGTGGGCCACAGAGTATTGTAGCGCACATACTTCGTAAAAAAGCACACTAGTACCTCAGGCCAGAGGGGAGGACAGTAAGCGTAAGCAGTACTAAACGACTGCACCTGTTCGGAGTTGACTCTGCACTATTAAGCAGGGTGCAAGCCCACCAGGCTGTTTGGCCAAGTGTACACTGTTTTATATCATTACACTCTACACTGTATTCTGCCCACGAACTCTTCGGGCGGCCCTGGCAATTGAACATCGAGGACAGCCCAGGCGCAAACGACACACCCCAAGCTCCAGGCTCTCCTTTCACGCTAGTCCTGTGCAAACTCCGAAAGGAACATTGAACATGGCTGCTTCATCATCGCCTATCACTTAATCTTCATCAACACGCGTATCCCCTGTACACTCTATTGTTTTCCCTATCTCCGTACGACGTTCCTCAAGCTAGTCCATGACCAAGCACGTCACGCTCGATCCCATTTTACTTTGGGCTAAGAGGGGTGACCAGCTCCATATTAGTTACATGGCGGACCTCAATGCCGCCGGGTGATCCAAGGCCAGGCGAGCTACGACTAGTTGTAACTCCTTGTAAACCCTCTCCATCTCTGCATTGAAGCGGACAGGCACAAAAGCCTGCATCGAGTGGGCGCCACTGGGGAGCCGACAAGACCAACGATAGAGTGACCACGGACGAAGGGGAGAGAGGAAGCCAAAATTTGCCACGATTGTATCTCGACCTCGGCCTCTAACGATTTTACTCCTCAGCTAGTGGCTGACGTCCTGGAGAAGAGACTGCTGTGCGACGGAGCAAGGGGCAATGGGACTTAATGTGCTAGCAAAAAGTAATAGTTTGCTAACCGTGATGATCTCTGAGGGCTGAGACCAACCGAGGAGAGCGAGAGAGAGGGCTGGGAGAGGCGATGATAATGGACTAAAGAGACAAGCGTAGGAGGTGTGTGTGTGTACTCCACCGCAGCCCTGGCATGCTGCTAACCAATACACCACCCAATGGAAGCTTGACGTCTTGGAGGGGCGATACTTGTCCTCGACCTTGGCCAGAAGCTGCACATTTACGAAGTAAACTAGTTATTCCCATGCTCCATCCCTGCTCAACCCCTTCCAAACTGTTGTCTACTAAAATATTACATGCTTGCCTTTGCCATAGACGAGATTGCCATGCGTCCCAGTGTTTTTACCAGTTCGATTGAGTTACTCTGGGAGTCTGGTGTGGAGAATTGTATGCTGCAAATGCCAATGCACGAGCTCCATCGTCCAGGGTGTTTTGGTGGGGCCGGCGCCCATGGGCGAGATCAATGGACTCTATGATGAGAGGGGTTCTCTCCTCCCATGTATAAATTACACACAAACTCGGTGCATGCGTACCTGGCGTGCTTCAGCACGGCTGCCTCTATTGGCTGTTCCAGACGCGGCCTGGAAGGTCTCGCCACACCCTTCTCATTGATCGATTCAAAACACCTATGGGATGATGCAGCCTATTACTTGTACGAGATGTTACAGCTACAATAATGGATAATGGAAATTTGTGTGCGTCCACGATAGGTGGACGGATTGATTGATTGCATGCTCGAATGTCAAGTGGTGATGCTGGGGGGATACAGGGAAATCCCAGCCTGGTCCAGACGATAAGACATTGAAGATCAAGAACCCGTTTGTATGTATAATATGGAGTGTGTATGTGCTGAGTAGCTTGCTAAGCTGCAGGCATAATGAGGGACCTCGAATGGAAGTATCGGGATGCTGTTTCTTACACCCGTCCAGCATTGTGCGGACCTTTGCATGAAACGTACAATCGCTGTACTATATGTGCAGTAGATACGCATCCAAGTACGTACGACCGCAGGTGACGGCAATGAGCGACGGTGACAATAGCGGGGACGAGGTACGAAGCGAGACTCTCTCTCTCTCTCTCTCACTCTCCTGTCGATTCTGAAGCTCAATTTTCCACAGTTCAAAAAAAAAAAAAAAAAAAAAAAAAAAAAAAAAGACCAGTGAAAATGGAATGGGCTTGATTTGCTTGCTTGCCTGCTTCCTTCCCTCGAGTCTGGCCAGTGCTAGCTTCACACTGTAGGCACACCCTCCTTCACACCCACCCCCCTCCTTCCCTTTGTTCCCTACGCTACCAAGTCCTCACTGTCTTTGGTGTCCCTTGGGAGCTAGTGGGGCAGAGGCTAGAGCTAACCGGGGTACAAGAAATGGTACGCAGTACTACCTAGTCTTAGTTCACTTTTCCCACACCTCATGCCTCATGCTCACTCGTCACTCGTGCCTGCTCCTGTACTCGGTACTGTGTGTCCGATCGGTTGTGGTAGTTGGGTATTGTGGACTAGGACCTGGATGCTCTCGGAAGTCCATCTATTATCAAGTCATGACATCATCATAGCCCAAGGCCATTGCCGAACAAGATGATCCCTATAAGAGACGCAACAGGACTGTCTTAATTGGGATCGTGTGTCTTTCCCTATCTACCCTATTTTCTTTTTCTTCCATTTTTTTCCTCTTAAAGGGAAATAAGTTCTTACTTTCTCAGATAAAAGAGACGAAGGAAGGAAGCGACCCGCTCTGACGTTTGTTCCTGCCCCCGTCCGCATCTGGAGGCTTCGTTGATAAGCTAGCTAAGGCGAAGGAAAGAAGCAACGACATTCAAGGTATCTTTCCGTTATTGATATAATCCAAAGTAGAAGTCGGACCTCGCCTTTCACTCTTTCTGCTGGACGATACTCGACCTCTACTTTTGCCCCTCTACGAATCGACGAAACAACTATATACGTCGCTGCCCCTCCCTCTCACTTCTCACACATTCACACTCACACACACACCCTCTTTCGCTTCCAACTACTGCTCTTTGCTTTACTACTACCATCCAACTTCCCTGCTGGTACTACCATTACAACCGCCACCCACCACCACCATCCAAATCACTGCCAACGACAAACTTTGGCCCTATCCTATCTATTAAAGCAAGCTCCTTATCTTCCCCACGAGGCATCCGCAACTCGCGTCGGTCTCTCTTTCGAGTCCTAAGGCCCCGGTCCTTAATCCAAAGTTCCAACAGCTACACACCATGGACAGCTCTTCCATCTACTTTGAGAGGCGAGACAAGCTTGATGTAAGCTCATATCCCTAGATCCCCTCAACACGTTCCCTTCCCCTGTCTCTCCGAGCACCCTCCTACCCCTCTCCAAGAGACCACGTTCTTCCCTGCATTGTACCGTGAGCTACTACTCCCAAGTTCAACCGGGCTTCTCTAGCTCAATTAGAGCTTGGCTTGTCAGCTTTTCTTCCTCATCTCCCTGCATGACCCTGCTCGCTACTTGGCATAGTCCAATGTTTCCAAGAACGCACAACATAAATTATTTCGGGGGACGCCTCAAAAGCGAATTTCTCGAGATGCCCGCAATTGATTTCCAGTTTGCTTTTTCGTTTCCTTCATTGCCTTTTCACAGTTTCGGTCCAAAATCAATTCCGTTCCAAAAAGTACCAAAATACTAACGGATTAGGATTTCGCCGAGCAGAGCCCAGGAGTATCACCAATTCTTGATCGGTTCATACCCCGTGCAGCAATGGAAGATTCAGCTTATTTCACAACCCCCAATGGCGCCTATTCCACGTTACAAGGCGACGCCTACACACTAGCGCCGCGTGGAAGCGTAGACCACCGCGACCCAACCACCAGTTTCGGCCTTGATTTTTTGCCGACGGCGGACGCCATGCCACGAGCATACCCTGCAGGAACACTAGATCCGGCCGTGACGACTAACACCACGAGCCCCGGAGACCCCACCTTCTGCGACATTGATCCATCCAGAGCGTTGTACAACGACCGAGACAGCTCTGAGGAATGTCTCGGAGGTGGAATGCACGGACAGACGGCCATCGCCTTTGATAGCTCCTACAGCTTCCTCCCTTCTCCTCCGGATGCGGAGGAGGGCGCAGAAGGCACTACCTCAACGACGCCTGCTATCTCTCCCAGACAAATTACTGAACCCACCTTTGCAGATGTTGAATCCGGTGCTCGGAGTAATAGCGCCGCGAATGCCAACAAACAGAGGGTCGAACGGAAGAAGAGAAGGCGACACTCCACTCCGGTTCTCCCTACCAAGGATAAACAAGCACCAGGCGGGCCCGGGGATGAGAAGCGCCGTTCCACGACGCAGCTACGCACGGCATCTAGGGCCCCTAAGCGCTACAGCCAGTCTACGGCGCGCAAGCCCGCCGAGACGCCCGAAGAGGTCAAGGCGAGAGCCGCACACAACCAAGTCGAGCAGCAATATCGCAAGAGGCTCAATGCTCAGTTCGAGAGGCTCCTGGCAGTGCTCCCGCAACCGGACTATGATGAGGAAGGGATGGACGAAGAAGGTGGTGAAGGAGGCGGGAGCCGAATGGGAATGGAGAAGAGAATCAGCAAAGCCGAAGTCTTGGACCTCGCAAGACGACGCATCAAGTTGCTTGAGCGGGAGAGGGCGACGTTGGAGAGGCAGAAGGACGAGCTTCTCGGCAGCGTCGGCAGAATGCAGGAGGAGTGGACCAGGAGACTTGGAGGTCCTATGCCAACGGCCGTCAAGGTTGAGAGGTGAGAGAGGCACCAGCGAAAGGCAATAAGAAAAAGTGGCGGAGAAAAAGGGAAAACAGAAAAAAAAAATAAAAAATTATCTTGTCGGCAAAACTCAGCCAAAGGGGTGTTAATTGTATTTGGGAATGGATTCCTAAAAAAAAAACATTGGAAGGGGATGTTCTGGCAGCGTGTTGGGAGTTGGAGGGGGCCCAATGTTCTAACAACTTTGAGGCTCAGTCTTTTCCCGCCCCAACTGTTCACGACCTTTCCGAGGGTCGTGGAGAAGGGGAAAGGCGGGGCTTATTTCTTATCTCTTGGGTTTTACGGGTTGTTCTTTGAAGTGTTTCCAATCCGCTCAGCTTCAAACTGGTCGGATATTGGGGAACTCTGGCGTTTGGTGTTGTACTATTCACAGGCACGGCTTGGGATTGCTTTTCTTTTTTGCTCTCACGTTTTGGAGGGAGAGGAATGGAAGACTGGTACTACAGGTGAACCGGATTCTATGTTTATTACTACTACGACGACTGGGCGTCTGAATGAGGTCAAGGCCGGGGATTGGCCTTGATCCTCTTGTATATGGCTCAAAACGGTTGACCTGTTTCATTTGGCGCATATTCTTCTTGTTTCCTTATTCCTCTGTTCGAGGGCTCCTCCTCCTGTCATTTCCTATAATTCTAATCATTTTAGGTGAATGATAATGGTTTTACTTTATTTTGAATCCATTTGTTTGCTGTGATGTGTATTGTCTGCCTCGCCGGGTGGTCCTTGCACGGGGTTTGAGGGATCAAATTCAATTTCGGTCTTGATTTCGGGCGGCGGCACGGAGGCTCTCGGTGGGTGGATGGGGACGGGAGACACAGCAAGAGAAGGGAACAGGGCATGATTGGTGCATCGAGACCACTTCGAAGGACGAAGTACGGAGTACCTCGTGCGTGCAGATCCTGGGGTGTAATTGTACTTTGTACCTCTCTGTATTACACATCCGCCGATTTCGTAACAATAACAGCTTCGTACAGTGTGCTCCTGACGTTGGATCTATCTGTCCGCTATCCATGCTTTTTGCTTTTTCTTCCTTGCTCTGTTTCCCTCTTCTGGATTCGAGTTCCCTGCTTAGTTCGAGGCACCCTGATGCAATAAAACAAACGCGGAAATTGGAAGGATTTGAAATATTGCGAGATCTACAAGGAAGCTGCCTGCTTTGTACTTGTGTTCACTGGCACACGAAGGGGGCAGATCGATACACCCACCTCCGAGTCCCCAGTGAGAAGGAAAGGGGGGGGGGAGAGACGGAAGAGGGAAGGAGCTTGAGGGGTGTGGACGGTACAGTGTGAATTGATGTTCTCTTTCATCAATTCGTACTACTAAGGTAGTTTACTAGTTTTGCCTTTGGACGCTAATTGAGATACAGACGGAAGGCGGATGTGGGCGAGCCAGAGGGTGGTGTGTGTGTGGCGGAGGGGTTCCCATTGGATGGTTGCACGTGGAATCTGCTGGCGGGGGAATTGAGCGTGGCGACTCTGTCGAGGGAATTGGGCAGCATGGATTGAGGAATTGAGGGAGGGGGTTCACAGAGTCCTGGGATTGGGACCGGGGCGTGTCAACATGGACTTTGTTTTATCCTATCTTATTTTTATTATATTTATTTATTTATTTATTTTTTTTTTTTCATTTTCTCTTTTTCACGTTCCATGTTTGTTCTCGACCGTTAGTACTGGTTATGTTGACGCGTCGTCCTTGGGGTTCGACCTTTGGTTCCGACCCCCCCTCCCCACCTTTTTGGGTTGAAGCTATCCATCGCCTTATGGATTGATACTGTCTGTTCCAAGGGACCAACCATTCAGGTGAGTCCAGACGGAGTCCAGACGGAAGTGGTACTTCGTATCTCTTCCGGTCCTGTCGGCTTATACGGGAAAAGACGCGCGTTATATTTTCTCGGAGAGCGCCGCAAGATTGCTTTTTTCTCCGGTTGAGTTTTTTTCGTTTTACAAGATACACCCCGGAAAGCGGCCTGTCCCGATATTCTCTGTCGTCGTTCTTTTCAAAAGGGGAGAGGATTAGCAGATATGTGGGTTGTACGAGAGGGATGGGGGAATGACGTCGCTTAAGGGATTAAAGACAGGCATATGGGGACCGGGGGGGCTTCTCGGCGGAAAGGGCCTGGCGTGGGAAGATCGGGTCTGGACCAGCCGCATTTTGTCTTTTTTAGTCCAGACTCTAATAATTGAAGCCGGTGAAGAAGGATTCTCTGCAGACAGACAGGGTCTCGACAGGGGCGTTTAAAGGGAAGAAAACGGTTAACCGGTGAGTGATGGACGGGGTGAGCGAAGGAATGGGCGAAGGAAGGAATTGAATGAAGATCGGGTGGAAGACCGTAGTTAGACCGTGTAAGTCTACCTAAGCGATATTGCTGAAGGCGCCACTTGGGGAGCTATTTGGATGTGGATTTTACAATTGTAGCTTAGTTGGTGCAAGAGGGTGGAGAGGATTTGTGGCGAATGAGAGGGAGGAATTGAGATCAATTGAGGCGATAATGGATCGACAGATTCGGGGTTTGGTTTTGGCCCTTGGGATAAATAATATCGATCCAGTTATGTACGAATATTTCACAGTCACATCAATTCATGGGGAACGGGAACTTGGGTGTTGTGGGCTCTTGCTTGGTCGCGGCCCCCGTGGAAAGGTTCTAGAAGAACTGAACTTGCAGTAGGAGAAAACGCATGGGATGTCGGATGGATCAAATCACGGTCCCGGACCAGTGTTAGTGATTGCCAGGCCAGGCCAATGTTGGGGCAGGTGATGGTTACCCAAAATCAAGTGATGTCTATGTACAATGATGAGCGGATGATGCACCGCCCTATCACTTTTCTTCCATTATCCATTTATGAACGGTCCATAGTTTTCAGGCTATCCAAATGTTGAAAAGGTAGATGCGACTTGTCCAGGCCCAGGGCATCGCCGTCGGATCAAACCATCGCCAAGGGAGACCAGGATCTGCCTCTCGCTCCTCGCCACCTCTTTGATGTCGTGACGTTGAGAAGATGCGGAAGAGTTAGCGAAGAACGCTGCAAATGCCGACTGATTCGTACATTAGCACGGTTTTTGGGACGGGATGAATCCGATACAAGGAGCGCAATTACAGGAGCGTGAGCGTAGTAAAAGCGAAGGAATGGAAAGAAAAATCCGAAAGGCAGGCTATGACGTCGCTGACGGCACGGGAAATACACAGAAAAAATTTTAAAGAACCGGAGGCGGGCTGGACGGGACGGGATGGGTCATACGAGGGCGTGCGAGGTTCAAGTCCGATGCAGCTAAGCCGGCTTGCTACGATGTTCACACTAGCAAGGGGAAACGTCGTGGACGCTACTGGTACACTGCTCTCCTTATCTCTCCGACGACAGGGGGACTGAGGCCTGACATCATCGATGCTGCGATGCTGCATTGGAGAGATCCATGGCTCGCTACCACTAGTGCGGCTTCACGTTGGCACTAGAGTGGTTTTTTTCCCGTCTTCTCAAGCAACTCGGGCTTATTATTATTATTATTTTTTTTTTTTTTTTTTTTTTTTTTTTTTTCCTTTTCTTCTTTGGTAGAGTAGCATTGGGATTCTTGGGAATCCTTAGGCTGTGGAGGGTTGAGATCAGCGCTAGATGGCTCCCCGGAGGCGACGTTGACGATGAGAGATGTGGATGTGTGTGGTGGTGAGATTCGAGTGTGCAGAGGACGTCAGTGTTGGGAGCCGCAACAGACGGAGTGCAAGGGAGGGTGTACCAGAGCCGGAGGGGGCGGGGGGGATGATCCTATCTTGCTCGGCCCCATCTTCGAGTTACACGATGGCTTGTCGCTTGCCTCGTGCTGAGGCTCTCTTTTTGCTTTTTCCTTCCTCTTTTCTTTTTCTTCCTCTATCCGGTGTTGGTCCCTCAACAGGTTCCATACGGAGGATTCATCCCCACTTGAGCTGGTAGTTGATAAGACGATACTACCCTCGTTATTGCCCTCATACGAGATGACAAAACGAAGAAAGGGAAAAGGGAGAAAAAAGCAAAGAGCATGAGCAAAGAGCATCACGCCGAATGCCAAGCTCAGTACCCTCAAATATCTCGAGCTTGATGCCACTGCTAACAGTTCCAGGTTCTACTTATCCGACATTGGACTCAGTCTATTGTCCTCTTTGGACGGTGACGTAATAGAGTTCAGCAATGGCGACTCGCAAGCCTCCGCGATGCATTCAAGTTGTGGCCTAGAATCGATAGTGCAGTGGACTGCCCACTAGAGTGAGGTCGAATTGCTCGGGAATGTGGGGTAGAAAATGGTCCCAAGCTTTCATCTTCGACTCGGGCAGTGAGAAAGCATCTCCAAGGGACAATGAAGAAGATATGAAGGAAGATGGAGAAGACAAGAGGTATGCGCGAATGCTCTGCCTCGATCCCCTGCTCTTATGCTGTCGAATCATAAAGCGACGTTGATGTGGAAAATCGAGCAACGTCGTTGGTGCGCATGGACTCAACGAGAGCTGGCCAGGCCTGGTAATTGTGCCCGTGGCTGCGGTTGGTCGTAGCCATTTCCTTTGTGGTTTGATCAAACATTTCTCTTACGAAGTACCCCGCGTTCCCCTTGGCCTCCTCGGAAAGCAGTGATGCCATGAAAGTAAAAGGGAGCTTCGTGATTTGGCGGGGTAAAGGAAAATGCGAGGACTCGGCGAAATAGGCACAGACAGGTTGTTAGTTGGGGTTGTTTTCCATCGTATTGATGTTTTTTTGGGGTGGCATCGTGGGGTTTGGGGGTGGGATGCAGAGGGCAGAAGGAGGAGAAGAGGGGGGAGATTGTGGGATGAATCGATGAATCGATGGATCGGGTCTATCGCGCCGGTATAAAGGGTGGATTGAGTTTCCCCGTCTAACGAGGAGACTCTGATTCTTCTTCGAACCAGAGGGCAACCTTGAATTTCTAGGTTCGGAAACTTTTAAGATAACCCGTTTCCTCCACCTTCTTCCAGAGATCATCTATAATCAAGATTTCTTTTTCTTTTTTTTGAAGCTCATCGAGATAATCCAGCAAAACACAGTCATGGCTCCCGTTGACCAGACCAAGTATGTCCAAGATTTCTCTATTACACTTGCGATGCCACGACTTCACAACCCACGTCTCATCTCCTGCCATTCTCGCGTTTTCTCTTCTCCTTCCACGACGCCCAATACTAACATAACACCCTAGACGCACCTTCAAGCTCAACACCGGCGCCGAAATCCCCGCCATCGGCCTCGGCACCTGGCAATCCCCCCCCAACCAAGTCTACGACGCCGTCCTCTCCGCCCTCAAGAATGGCTACCGCCACATCGACACCGCCTTCGCCTACGGCAACGAAACCGAAGTCGGCGCCGCCATCCGCGACTCCGGCGTTCCCCGCTCCGAGATCTGGGTCACCACCAAGCTCGACAACCCGTGGCACAAGCGCGTGCCCGAGGCTATCGACGCGTCGCTGAAGAACTTGGGTCTTGATTACGTTGATTTGTACCTCGTGCATTGGCCGAGCAGTACGGATCCGGCGGACTTGAAGAAGCATCTGGAGGGGTGGGATTTTGTTGATACGTGGAGGGAGATGCAGAAGTTGGTGGGGACGGGGAAGGCGAGGAATATTGGGGTTTCCAATTTTGGGATTAGGAATTTGGAGAGGTTGTTGAATGATGAGTCGTGTAAGGTGAGGTTTGCGTCTCTCACTTGTTTTCTTGTTTTATTTCTATTCTGTTCTTGTGTCGTTCCGATTCTTGTCCTATAATACTGACCCGGGCCCTAGATCGTCCCCGCCGTCAACCAAATCGAGCTCCATCCCTGCAATCCCTCCCCCAAGCTCGTCGCCTACAACACCTCCAAGGGCATCCATTCCACGGGCTACTCCTGCCTCGGAAGCACAAACTCCCCCCTCTACACCAACAAGACCCTCCTCGACATCGCTGCCGCCAAGGGCCGCACGCCCCAGCAGGTCCTCCTCATGTGGGGGCTTCAGAAGGGCTGGAGCGTCATCCCCAAGTCCGTGTCTGAGGATCGCATCAAGGCTAATTTCGAGGTCGATGGCTGGGAGCTGACGGAGGAGGAGATTAAGAGGCTGGATGCTATTCCGGAACGGTTCAAGGTTTGTGGGGATGCTTGGTTGCCTGTCAAGGTGTTCTTTGGCGATGATGAGTAGAGGAAAAGGGGGAAAGCCTGGAGAGGTTTGAGCCTTTTGCCCCCAATTAATATATTGGAGGTTGAGACTGTAGTTGGAATAAGAAAAGAAATCCAATCGAGTGTTTAAAGGCCCATCGTGAAACCGGACCGTGTATCGTGAAATTGCATGCGCCTTATAGCTTGGACTCCTTATTCGTGTTCTTCTTCTTCTCCTCCCCCCTTTCCTCTACCTGTTCTTTGTCCTCCTCCTCCTCCTCCTCCTCACCTTCTTCCTTCCTCAAAATCTCCGCCACAGCCTCCCTCAACAACTCCGCCATCTCCCTCCCCTCCTCATCATCCAACTCCTCCCTCATCCCCTTCGCAAACATAACATAGCTCTTACTAAACCTCCCCTCCCCAACGCCGCCATTCCCACCCCCGTCCCCTCTCCTCGGCACCACGTGAAAATGCACATGTCCCACGACCTGCCCAGCGCCCACCCCATTATTCTGCACCACGTTCCAGTCCTTCGACCCCGTCACCTTCACGACGGCCCGCGACAGCACGGCGAGGTACCGCCCCATCTCGGAGGCTTCGGAGCGCGTGACCGAGGTGAGCTTGGGGCGGTGGGAGCGTGGGCAGAGGAGGAGGTGGAAGGGTTGCAGGGGGAGGATGTCGAGGAAGGAGATTAGCGTGGGGGTGGAGAGGATGAGGTGCGTTTCGGGCGTGGTTTTGGTTGGGGAGATGGGGCAGGAGGAGGAGGATGTGAGTTTGGGTGGGTGGGTCGGCGGGAAGGGGGCGTAGGTGGCGGAGATGTTGCAAAAGGGACAGTTGAGGTCGTTGTCGGAGGACATTTTCGTTGTCGGGATTGGAGCCGATGGGAATTGAGGAGTGGGAGGACGGATGAGATTGATGAATGGAGGTGTTTGCGGTGTTGAGAGGATGCGATTATACAGGGAAGATCAGATCTGGAATCTGGGGAATTTAAGCTAATCTAAACTATTGAATCAAACACGGAAAGTGGGAGGTCGGTAGTTACTTAAATCTCAAGCGCTGTTTAGCTCCGTCAATTTGTACCTCGGCATCGCATCGCTTCACCACCAACATGATCAACCTTCACATTGATCAAAGCTAACATCAATGCCAACATTTACGCCTTAATTCTAATTCGTTACAGTATTTCGATGCCTCCCCAGGGCATTCCCCTCAACCCTCCTGCTCCAAAACCCTCGTCCAGTCAAACTTCCTCCACCACCTCTTAAACCCCTCCAACCTCCGATCCTCACCCTTCCTCCACCTCCCCTGCTTCTTAACCACCTCCGGCCCAACATCCAACACCCCGCCAATCACCTCCCGCGCGAACAGATCCCCCCTCGGCCACCTGTCCGAGTTCTCCACGACGTGACCCAACCCGCCGTCCAGCGTAAACCACACGTGGAAATACGGCATCTCCTTGGCGATGCACCGCCGGAACGCCATGCGGCCCATCCCTTCCTCGCGTGCCTTGGCCCCCGTGTCGATGACCTTGCGGTGCTGCGACCATTCTTCGTCAGACGTAAGGAACGCCTCCTTGAAGTACGCGGGGATCGTTTCGCCCAGCTCGTAGGGGATGGGTACGACCGTCATGGCCGCGTGTGGGTGCCGGTGGGGCGCCGCGGCGTTTTCGTAAAAGATGACCTCGCGTCCTTGGTCGTGGTACATGCGCGTCAGCGACTTCATAAAGTTGCGAATCTCTTCCCACTCGTCGTCGTCGCATTCGAGAAGGTTCGTACGGTGCGCCAGCGGTACAATGACGGCGCCGCCGTCGCTGACTTCGGGTTCGGTGGGGAGGGTGAGGTATACGCGCGTGCCGAGCGAGATGACGGGCGCGATGGGCTGCTTGCCCGTGTCTTCATGGTAGCAGAGCGGGCAGGCGTCGAGGATGCGGTTCATCTTTTGGAACTCGTTGACGGCGAGGTTCTTGAGGTTGACTTCGGACTTGTGCACCCTCTTGGCCAGCTTCGCCGCGTTCTCGTCCATGTACTCGAGGTCGTTGTCGAAGAGCGTGTCCTTGGCGATCCGCTCGGCAAGCCTCATCGACTCGCCTCCCGCCTGGTTCTTCGTTCTCCGCTCTTCCTGGATCATCTGCTCGATCGTCATGTCCTCGTTCTCTTCTAGATTACCTCGCTCGCGACCCCGCTTCGTCTCGACAGCCTTGACTTCGGCCCGTGGTCCCGCGAGCATACGATTCTCCATGGCGCCTAGCGCCACCGTCCTAGGCCCCGTCTCTACGAAGGCCGCTGCTGCCTTGTTGTACTCCTCCTCGAGCTTTTCAGCATCCGGAGCCTTGCGCAGCTTCGCCTTCATCATCTGCGCGCGTAATCTGTTCAGCGCCGTCTGGTCCATGGTCGCGGCCGGCGATCGGTGCATTTCGTCGACGACCATAGCTGCCGGTTCAGGTTGTTCCCGCGCCAGCGTAAAGCTCATCGAGCCGCGGGCCGCTCTGCTCTTATTTTCCGAGGCCTTCCTTCCCATATATAAATCTCCCGTCGGACCCTCCTTCATCGCGTAGCCATCTCCGTAGAGTCTCCGACGATCCAACTCGTCCTTTTCCTCTCGAGCGATATCGAATTCCTGGAGGCTTCCGTACCGTTCTAAGGCCACGTCGTCCACTGAGCGCCCATCCCTCTCCGCGGTGGTATACACGGCCTTGAGTTTCGTCATTCGCCATTGTGATCCGTCATCTCCGAACTTGTAATCGACGCTGATTTCCTTTACTGCTTCTTCATCACTGTCGTCGTCTTCTGGTCGGAACGTATAATCACGTAGACCCTGATTAAGCTCTCGTTCGTGGAGTACTCGTTCGGGCTCTTTCTTTGGCGGGGGTGGCGGCGGGTCCTTGTTACGTCGGTGAACGTAATCGATATCGAGGGCCGAAGGTGCTGTCATCCACGAATCGCGCTGCAGGGAATTCGACTTGGGGGGATCATTACGTTCGTCCTCGGCGGTAGGTTTGTCTCTCGACGACCTCGACGATGATTCCTCATCTTTCCTATGGCTCCTAGAACTACGATGGTTTCGGTCTCGATCTCGGTCTCGATCTCGGTCTCGGTCCCGGTCTTTATGTTCTCTGTGCTCCCGATGTTCTCTATGCTCCCGGTGCTCTCCATGTCGGCTCGATCGATGTCCCTCCTCATGTCGTGACCTCTTGTGCCGATGACCGTCCCGATCGTCATCATCGTCGTGTCTATGCGAGCGGTGTCGGTGGCTCCTATCACCATCCTTATCCCTTTCATCCCCGTGCCTCTCATGCCTATGCTTCCTCCTTTTTCTCTCCTCCCGATCCCGATCATCGCGGTCCCTCTCAGCCTTGTCCGCCGCCAAGCTCTTTTCGAACTCTGCAAGCCCGTCCATCTGGTAAAATCGAAAGGGGGAAGAGAACCCAAGTCGAGCAAGAGCAGGGCGCGCGTGGGGTGGTGTTTATATGAGGGAATAAGTCCTACAGGGGTTCGCTTCAAAAGGGGGGCTCAATCAGTCAGTCTGACAGGTCTGAGTCGTAATGACTGATAATCAGCAAACGGTGGCGAAAATTTCAAGCGTTTGGAGGGCTTTTGGGGCTGGCATTGCATGTGGCGTCCAGGTCGAGCGGTATGGGGGAATTCGAACGTGGGGTGTGGGATGTTGTCGAAAAGGAGAGTGGGGGAGAAGATTGGGATCGATTATCAGGAGAGTCGTGAAGGCGTCCGTTAAGAGCTGTGAGATATCGATAGCTCTTTGTTTGGGGAAGTGACGAAGTAAGTTTAGTTTACACTGTGACTTGGCATGGGGACTTTGTTGCCGAAATCTCCAAGTCGCAAACAGATCGGGAAAAGTCAGGTGGCGCACTGACCGTTTCGGTGTGCCAATTTGACAGTGGATCCAGCTGCCCGTTTTAGTGGCAGCCTTACAATTGCAGCCTTCGATTTTTTTCTTTTCACCTTCTTCACCTCCAGTCTCCCACTCACGATCCGCCACTCTCCACCTCCAAACCAAACCCATCCCTCCCAATATCGAGCGAACAATCATCGAAATACAATCCCCTAGAACGACCCCGAATCCGTTAATTTCACCCAACATCCACAATGTCTCGCGAGGAGTACCAGATCCCCACCTCCACCGCCGACCACGCCCCGAAGCCCTACGGAGGCGTCGACGCCGTCAGCTCCAAGAACCCCAACCTCGTCTACATCTGCGGCGACTGCGGCGTCAAGTCCTCCGACCACCAGACAGTGCCCTTTTTGAGGTGCAAGTTCTGCGGTTGTCGTATTCTCTACAAGGATCGTACTAAGCGGTGAGTTTTCCGTTTCTCTCTCAAGCGTCGAGCGTCGTGGGGCGTTGAAGGTGGGCTTTACTGATTTTTTTCTTAGTATGGTTCAGTTTGAGGCGCGATAAGGGGAGTACAGAGGCTGGATGAGAAGGACGAGTCTGTGGTTAGGGGAGTGAGTGGGTTTTTCCTTTGCATGGCATATTCATATTGGGGGCTACGGAGCTTAGGCGCAATGGTTCAAAGAAAATAGGGTCGGAACAAGAACATGTTCGAGTTAGTTTCTTCGCCCTCCTCGAAAGATACGGGAATGTCGTAATGAACTGCCTCAAAAAATATTCAAATGGTATCATAAATTACCTTTTTTTTTTTTTTTTTTCAGTCCGAAGTATGGTACATTCAATGCATGTCAAGAACGTCAAGTGCTTTCCCCCTCTATCCTAGCCCTTGTTCCCCCACCCATCTACTGCCTCTGCGAGTGAAGATACTTGGCATAACTCGCTTCCGCCTCCACAGAATCACCCCCACCGCCAAGCGCCGCCTTGTACCTGTCCTGAAGCGCGGAGCTCCCACCCTCCTCGTCCTCATATTCCTCGTCTCCGCTATCCTCCACCACGTCGACGCTTCCAATCTTAGAAACGAGGTCACTCTCCCCACCCTGGACCGACATACCCTTCATCATTTTCTCCAGTTCCCTCTCCCGCTTCTTAACCTTCTCCTCCTCCTTCGCGGTCCTCAAACGATCCAATTCGGGCTGGTAATCCCGCTCGAACTCCTCCGCCTTCTCCTTCACAGCCTCAAAGAACTCGGCAACTCCCGTACCTACCCTGGAACTGACGCCAACGACGCTGAGATGCGAGTAGAACTCCTCGAGCACGAGACTCATAGAGCTTAGCAGACTGCTGCTATATCCGGATCCGCTTTCGGCGCCCTCGGTCTCGGCGCGGAGTTCGTCGTCGGCGAGGGCCTCGCGAAGGGCTTCGTAGTCCGTCATCCACTCCTTGGCGAAGCTGGCGTCTTTGACATCGGTCTTGTTGAATACGAGGATCATGGGGAGTTTGGTCTTGTAGAGGATGCTGCAGGCGTAGAGCATGTTGCTCATGAATGTGCTTGTGGACGTCGTGCGTGGGGTGTCGATTATGTAGGCGAGTACGGTGGGGAAGGAGGATGCGAGGGACTCGAGGAGGATTTGGCCGCTTGCTGACCATACGAAGACTTCGATTTGACCAGCTAACACAGTGGAAATAAAAAGAGGTTAGGCTAATCGATAATTTCCACAATGCAACTTTTAAGGGTGGTTTGAGAAACTCACGCGTATCAACAATGATATGCTTGACGGGTTTGCGCTCCGGGTGTTCGGGGTCCGGCTTCGCTCTCTTCTCCAGCAAACCAACCATTTGGTCAACCTTGGTCGCAAACAAATTGAGCGAGGTCATAATGGCACCGTTGGGCCCGAGGTTGTAGTGCTTCATTACATCCTTGTACTTGATTGACTGGCGAATATCGATGTTGCAGTCGAAGGGAACCTCGAGTGTCGCGGGGTCAAGGTTGATGACGTATGGAGGACTGCCTTTTGAGTGGAGGTGCGAGTTGATGCGCCTCATGAATGTGGTCTTTCCGGATCCTTCCAGCAGGGAAATGAGAGGTCAGAATAAGTCTGCAAAGATATCCTTTCCCTTCTCAAATGGAAAGCTTACCGGCCATTCCTACGCACACGATCACTGTAGGGCGCTCGGTGGTGGGGGTGGCATCGGCCTTTGATTCAGAAGTCGAAGCCATGGCGGAAGCCTGGCTGATTTCAATTTAGAATGACCAAGGAGAAGAAGGACTTGTACAGAGGAAAATACGGTCTCTGGGAGGCTAATTTGATGGGCTGAAAGGAAAGGCGCGGCGTTTTGTTTGTCGCAATGGGGACATTCAGAAAAAAAGCATCATGGATTGATAATGATGATTTTTGGAGGGGCCCATCTCGAAGCAAAGCAAAGCAGCTATTCTACTAACAGAAGAATTGCAATAAAGAGTTGATTGCGGGGGAACTGGCAGAAAGAAGGCGGTGAGCCCGAAAGAATGTCTCCAATTGACTCACACCCCACCTTGACAGCGAGACTCTGGGTTCCTGCAAAAGGAGGGCGTTCCTCTAACACACTAGATTCTAAACGTGTCCCAGGTAAACCAAACCAGTAAAGTCAATATTGAAAACCCGAAGATCCTTGCACTCCAACATCAACAGGGACACAAAAAATCAGGATGGCGACCATGACGGCTGAGGAGCGCTTCGCTCTGATCAAGGAGAACTTGGAGGAGATTCTGAACCCTGAAATCATCGAGGGTATCCTTGCTGAAGGACGGAATCCTAGAGTCTATTGGGGTACTACGCAATCCCCGCCGAGTTCACGGTTGTTTGTTCATGAAGGATCGTAAATCACTAACGTATTCTCCATTTTCTCCTCGAATTTAGGAACCGCAACGACCGGAAGGCCACACTGTGGCTACTTCGTACCAGCCATCAAGATCGCCCAGCTCCTCCACGCCGGATGCGAAGTCACCATCCTCCTCGCCGATATCCACGGCTTCCTCGACAACCTCAAGGCGCCCCTCGAACTGGTCGAGCAGCGCGCGCTGTTCTACAAGCGAGGCGTCACGGCCATCCTCGAGGCCGTGGGTGTATCGACGGACAAGCTGAAGTTCGTCTTCGGCAGCTCGTACCAGAAAAATGCTGACTACGTGATGGATGTCTACCGCATGTGTTCGCTCATCTCGGAGAACGACGCCAAGAGGGCGGGGGCGGAGATTGTTAAGCAGTCGGATAATGCGCCGCTGAGCGGTCTTCTCTACCCTATTCTTCAGGTGCTTGATGAGCAGTACCTTGATGTGGATGCGCAGTTTGGAGGTAGGTCGCCGGTCGTGGGTTCACTTGGCTGCCGGGGAGCGCAAAAGCTAACTTTGAGAAGGTCTCGACCAGAGGAAACTTTTCATTGCGGCCAAGGATTGGCTGCCGAAACTCGGCTACAAGGAGGTAAGAACTAGGACTCCAATTGGGGTAGATATCGATTATGGCTAACCTAATTTTACCTACTATTAGAGGGCACATCTCATGAACCCCATGGTTCCTGGTCTACAAGGTGGAAAGATGAGCGCGAGTGATCCCGGTATGCGAAATTCTGCTCCTGAGGCCCTAGATATAAATGCGTGTTGTGCGCTGACTTGGCTGACATTCGTTGCCGTGCAGACAGCAAGATTGACCTCCTCGACCCTCCCGAGTTGGTAGCAAAGAAGATCAAGAAGGCGGAGGCGGCCCCCGGAGTCACCGAAGGCAATGGTATCCTTGCCTTTGCAGAATTCGTGCTACTCCCCGCAGCCGGCCTCAAGGGCAAGCGCGAACTAGTCGTCACCCGCGAGAGGGATGGACTGGAGCCTTTGGTTTACACCAAGATATCCCAGATGCACGAGGATTACAAGAACGATATCGTAAGTTGCCCTACGGGGGAGTTATTCTTGTTTATTTTTTTCTCCACCGAGCTCACCTTACTAACTTAAGCCCCTCCTAGTTGACTCCTCAACTACTCAAGCCCGCCATCACCAAGGCCCTACAAGACCTTTTGGCCCCTATCCAGGCGGCTTACCAAGCGTCGCCCGAGTGGCAAGAGATTACTCTGAAGGCTTACCCGCCCGAGGAGAAGAAGAAGAAGGAGAAGAAGGTCAAGAATAAGGGTACGCGCTACCCCGGAGGTGGGGCCGGTCCCGCCGGTGGTGAGAGCTTACCGGTACGCCCGGCTGAGGGAGCTGCTGGCACTCCAGACGGCCAGCCCGCTGCGTAGGAATAATGGAAGAGAAACCGAAAAAGAATAAGAAAATGGTGAACTGTATATTTGAAGCCACGGTGAGGTCAGCGCTATCGAAACATGGCACAGAGACTTGGTTCAGTCTTATAAAATAAGATTCCATGACGGCGCCTCCTTTTAGTTCATCTCCCTTTCCCCCAGCCGGCAGATCTGGCAACGATGGAGTCTCTTTACATAGGTGGCAAGCGTGTGGGCATCGCTCCCTTGCGACAAGGGCCGGTGGACAATAATGCATTGAACGGCGATCCCTAGGTCAATGAGAATCAAAACGCCCAAGCGGGAGGCCCCGTCCCGTCTACGAAGTAGTAGGGAAAGGCTAAGCGTAGTTGTTATGTTCGGCCCCCTCGAATACCTTAGCAAAGGAGTGGTGCCCAGTGGATAACTTTGAAGCTAGATTTGAGCCAAGGGCGATTGCCGCGACCGGATGGAGAATATCCCTTGGATTCAGTTTCCTCTTATTTCACCCTAGGCGGAAAAAGACGTATATGTCACTAGCATGAAGGAAGAGCGAGTGTATTCCATCTTTTGGGTATATGCTTTAAGTGTTTAAGTGCAGAGGGTTGGTTTCCGGACTTTTTTGATGGAATGGTGTATGCTGGGTGAGGGCTAGTGTATAAAATGCCCTCGAATGACCACTGTCTTGGTGTACACAAGATATCGCGACTTTCTGGGGAAGAACCACTCCCATATATAAGGCTGATTGGGCGGGTTTCAAACCATTCAAGTGAGAGTTCTCTGAGGTTCATTATTCGTCAGCGGAGTACTCTTCGTCGATGTCATCAATCTCCCGATTCCGACTTGCTCACGCAGCAGACGTCCCCCGGCCGAAATAACATCCAAAGATTCCCAAAGTTAATCAGTGGTACCATAGGAGGAACAACCGACTCGACAAGAACTATGTACTAGTTTATCTCCCTTATTGGGTTCTTCGTACATGTCCCGGGGGAGGAAGAATACGTGACGGCACTGAGTCTCGTCCGCGAGCATCCGTCTGTATTCGGCGAGCTCTTTCCAGAAGTTAAAATATACGCGGGCTCGCTGTGAATCACAATGTGATTCAACTCGATGTTGGGGTCTTTGTGGGCGGGGATTGTTGCTTTTATGGCGGCTTTCATGTGAGGGGGGAGCGGATCTCAGGTTGGGCATGGCCGTATTCCCTGGCCCTATCCCAAAACTTTGTTGAGACGAGAGTGGATGCCCTCAAAGTGGAGGAGCCCGTTTCAAGGTCGCGTGGATGTCTCGCTCGAGGATGTATCAGGTTCCCTGGGGTTTATAGACGCCATCATATTTGTCGAATCTCGCAGTTCGCGCCGGCCCCTTCTAGAATAGAAGGACGAGCGCTCTTTGAAATGATTCTACACAGTCATAGTTGAAGAAGGGATTCTCGAAGTTGTTATGACTTACATGGCTGTTTAGGAAGGGAGAAATAAAGTCGAAGTCCATGATTGCAACCTGCAGGGGAAAGGGGATGGAGCTGAATAGACTCAAAAATGGCAGCGACGGACAATATTCCGGCGCAAAGATTTGGGATTATATGAAGCTATTGTGAAGAACTGCTAAGCTTGACCTCGGCATGGCTAGGCTGGACTATGTACATTTGTATAGGCCAATGGAGGTGTGTTTTCCTTGAACAGCACTTCACCGACTTTAAAGGGATTTTATCAAGGCAGGGCTGTATGACTGGGATACATCAGATCATCACATGAGCAAGGCGGTGTTTCCGCCCATGCAGCCAAGACCAACCATGCCATAGCACAGGCATAAGTCCTGTCCTTCCGCCAGGTCCTGCATTGCACATCACCCGTTGTGGCCCTCAACCCAACAGCGTCAAAGTTTGCCCGCTGGCCGAGGCAGAAAAGGATCGTGTTTATCTTTCAGGTCTTGCTTGTCGATGGCAATAAAGGGCCCATCCTCGATACGTTCGTTAAGCCATCTCTCAAACAGAACGTTTCCAACAGCCCTCTTTTTCTTGCGATCTCGCTCGCCATAAGACTGACAGAGACTCCAGGTTAGACAACTGTTTCCCGAGCTGCTTAGGGAGTGGTGCGTCCAGGAGGTGACATGGAGGCGTTTCTTATATACCTGAGCACGCTGCATACCGCCATCTTGGTCAGGCTGGACTGGAGAAGACTTCTTTGGACAATTCATGATAGAGATAAATGTCAAGTATAATAGTATAATAATTAAATGTTGTTTGGCTTGAGATACTACTGTATTTCTATAGATTCTGGAGTATGCCTTTCGAGGAGGTCTATGGCTTCATTATATATTCGTGAAAGAAAGGTAATAGATGTGATATTCAACTTCTATAGGTAGTAGTACTTAGCCTATGCTGAGAGGTTTAAAGAGCTTCTGGGAACTCTTGTCCCTGATGGAATTCGGTGTCATAAGGCTCAGCCAAGGATCTGAGGAGTGTCCTGGAATACTTAGAACATATGACCTATGTTAGGGGTTGGGTATCTAGGCAGTCAGGGTTAGTTAGGGTGTGAGAAAGGGGGGATAGAAAGTGAAAGTGGAAGTGAAATGGAAAGTGAAACTGAAAGTGAAGGGGAAAAGAGACAAGGTAAAAGAGGAAAGAGTAGTGAAAGTGAAAAGGAAAGTGAAAGTGAAAAGGAAAGTGAAAGTGAAATGGAAAGTGAAAGTGAAATGGAAAGTGAAAGTGAAATGGAAAGTGAAACTGAAACTGAAAGTGAAGGGGAAGAGAGATGAGACGAAAGAGGAAAGAAAAGTGAAAGTGAAACTGAAACTGAAAGTGAAGGGGAACAGGGAGGTGAGTTATACGGGGGCTACATAAACAAGTACATTTGTTTGTTATTAGTGCTGTGTGTGTACGAAATAAGAACCATTTGCAAACTTTCTAGCACCAATATAATAACAATGGCTACAACAAAGCGGTTCTGGCCCTGGACGACATATATATTTGCAGGTATATATATTATTGTGCTATAGTATGTACCTGATTTGATGGGCTGAAGCTGGACCTTCCTTACACTTGAGTTCTGATACTAGCTTAGCCTGCCTCTGCTCACCTGCTCCTCTCTGAGGGCAGTTGGGGGGCCTACCTACCTGGCTTCTTTATCACTTTCCATCCTGACTTCTGCATTACTTTTATCCCCCCCATCCTAACATCTAACAACTTAAACGTCGGCCCTTCTTACCACCTCCATCACCTCTCCCCTCACCAACCGGTTCTGCAGGAGACTCTGCAAGCAGATACGCCAACCCCCTTGGACGTTGGCATGAGGACTCCTGAAACGCCAGAAATCTTTTCCCGGGCAGCTCTTTCGCCAGCACCTGTTAATAATCACGCCTGGGTGCCTACCAATATCCAAACGGGGTGGCCAGGGGATCCTCATTCTTCCGACTCTGATCACTACGAATTCCGAGGGAACATGTCCCTTGACGAAGTTCGCTCCCTCTTCTCGGAAGCGACACACCTTCTCAGGGAGGGGGATCTTTTAGAGGCGGGACACAGACTGCAGAAGGCACTAGCGGGGGTTAGCAGACTTCTTCCCTTCACGGACGAGGAGACCCTCCGCGCGGCTCATCGGCTGGCGGCCTTCTTTGCCCGCACTAATAGAATGTTGGATGCGAAGGACGTCCTGAATTGGATGTCTAACAACCATCTGAAGAAGTTTGGAGCACGTGGCGCGAGGACCGTGAAGCACTACCTTCTGGTAGTGTCGCGCTTTTGCAATCGTGGTCTTAGGAAGCAGACGCAGAACTGGTCGTCCACCAAATCATTGATGAATTGGTGTCGCCCTCGACGGTTGATCATCCGGCTGAAATACTCTTGACCGTCTCCATAATCCATCAAACTGCTCTCGAGAGCCTCGCCGACGAGCAACTATCAGCTTCATTCCCGGAAATCGAAGATTAGCGCGCCATTGACGCGCAACTTCAGATGGTTGACCTCTTCTTCTCAGCTAGGAGCGAGAGCCTTGAGGAGCTGCTTCCCCGCATCATCGCACACTGTAAGAAGCATCCCGAGAAGTTTGCCCTGCAGGGTATCCGCGCTGAATGTAGCCTTGCTCGCCTGAAAATTGATAAAAAGAAAAGAGAAGAAGCCAATGCCCTGCTCGTCAACACGAAGTCCTCGCTGTGAAAACTCTTAGACGAGGGGCCGCCGCCGCCGCCAGAAGCTTTAAATGCATGCAGGTCCATCGCGTTTCTCTATCTCGACAATGAGCAGAAGTCGGCCTGCGACTCAACTCTGGAAGCGGCAGTCCCGAAGTTAAGTCTGCGGCTTAATCGATCGGATAGAACATATTGCAGTGTTGTGTATGGATTTATTCTCCAGGTTGCCCGTCGGTTCCAGAGCTTGTCGGCCTCCGAGGACACGACATACTGGCTCCAGCGGCTATTGGGGCTGACGATCCTGACGCTAGGCCCTGTGGATCCCCTTACGAAGAAGGTTGAAAGGCTCCTACGTGGTGGTGATGACGAGAGTTACAACTTGATGGCATTGATGAGCTCATGGAAGCTGCTCAACCATGGCCATTGACGACGATGTGGCCGACTGGGCAACAATAAAAAAAATGGAGATCTCTCTTGTTCTCTTTTTTTCGGCTGGCGTGCCACTATAAAAGAGGGCTTCAAGACTAATGTTTTCTCACTGTTCAAATGTTCTTTTTTGTTAGAGTTTCGGAAATCTCCGTGCGCCATTCTGGTTCACAATATGTAGTCCTGTAAATAATACTCGGAATTCTGGGTCAACCACAGCCTTTTTGGCGTTGGTGGTGGTGTAACTTGTACTCCTGCTGTTTGTTGCCTGTCAGCAAAGTTTAGCCTTGACAAGGTAAAACGCTGAGCGGGTGGCGTGCGGGCTTGATTCGGAGAGGAGAAGGATCGATGGCTGGAGCAATTCCTCGGATACTTTTATCTCGATAAAACAACTTGCAAAGTGTTCTAACGACATTTCAAACCTGGTCATCTTGATATTGAAACGTGTGTTCCAACGAATAAACAACCCCAACAATAGCGACCCCGAGCTCCTTTTTAAAGCCGGCCTATCTACTACTACAACCCCCTATCACTCTTGCAGACGATAAGCTAGCCAGAACCATTGTCTCAGCTCGACGGCACTGTCGTCATCGACCTGAACCCTGGTCAACTCACGATCCTATTCACCGACAGCCCACGCACACGACATCGCGACACCGACCCGTCGCCATGGCATGGGAAACTACTCGTCGCCGGCTGGTCCGCAAAGTGAACAGCAAATATATTTACGGTCGCATCGTACGTCCATCTACTTACCCGGCCACCAGAGGCTGCTTTGCAGAGTCGCCGCCCGTGTCTGATCCGGGTTGCTCGGGGTCTTGCCTGGGATCCTCTGAGGGGCTGTTTTGCCGCTGACATTTTTTTTCTACTGTTTCTAGCCGCTGCTACATACCGTTGTCCTCTTTATCGAAGTTACCCTCCTCGCGCGACTGACGACCAAGTTCAGCGTTTACTACGAAGACCGACCAGGTTAGTTCCGACCTTTCTAACCAATATCCCAAAGTCGAGACAACCAGACCAAGCAGTCCGGCACGCTGCATTCGTGATTTCTGACTTGTTTCCTCTCTCCCACAGTCATGACCATGATGATCACCAACGCCATTCTCGGCGGCATGGCCGACACCGTCGCCCAACTCATAACCGCCATCAACGCCCGCAAACCCCTCAAGCCAGGTGGCCTATCCAAGCACGACCCGCTATCCATCGAACTCCACGAGCTCGACAGGAAAGACGGACTCCTGGGCAAAGATTTCGAAAAGCGCGGGATGGCCTTTCCCTTCGACTTTGAGCGTCTCGTTCGGTTCATGGCGTACGGTTTCGCCATCGCGCCGGCGCAGTTCAAGTGGTTCCGGTGGCTGGAGGAGCTTTTCCCTATTACGAAGGAGAGTGCGTTGGTGCCGGCTTTGAAGCGGGTTGTTTGCGATCAACTGCTTTGGGCGCCGTTGAGTACGTTTTTGACCCAAATGTGGAAATCGAAACGAAAGGAAAGAGGGTGAGTTTTGCTAACGTGAGTCGGTTGCAGGTGTTCTTGCGTTCTTCGTCTTCATGACCGTCACTGAGGGGGGCGGTCGGCGAGCCATAACTGCCAAGTTGAAGGATATGTACTTCCGGACACTCATGACGAGCTATCTCATCTGGCCCGCTGTACAGATTGTCAACTTTCGACTGATGCCTATCCAACTTCAACTGGTGAGTTCTTCGTCGGGTGTCCTGTCAAATAGGTCTGAGAAAAGAAGCTAATGATTATCTAGCCGTTCGTCTCTTGTGTTAGTATCGCCTGGACGGCTTATCTCTCCCTTGCCAACGCCTCTGATGGTGAGGTTTGAAGATGGTCATCCCGAAAGGCGAAGCATTGGGCGATGCAGAACATTCAAGTTTCCTACTGTGTCTCTGTTAGAGCATTGGGTAAAGGTTTATACGGCTAGCTGCATTTTGTCGAAACAGTGACGGACAGCGCCTTCGGCGAGCATTGGGCGGGCTAGTTTTGGTTATGCTTCCGCATGGTTGGCTTCGTCTCTTTTCAACTTTTTTTTTTTTGAACTTTTTGTGTCTTTTATTGGTGATGGTGTCTGGCGTTTTGGTATGGAATAGAACGGTCCTGATGGAGTTCGATCTTTTGCTTGGGCAAATGCTGGGAAGGCCTGTGAAGCTGTGGGAATCATGGGTTTTGTATTTGATCTCGAGGTATTCTTAGCAATTCGTCTCAATACGACATGTGGCTTGCTTCTGTTAAGGTCCCGTTTTCTTGTTTGTAAAATCTGCGATTTTTTCTCGCAAGTGAAAATACAAAAAGCAAGGGGCAAATGAAAACTAACTACGAAGTAACTAGTGCAGGGGAAAAGCACCGTTATTTGTAGCCCCGTTGAATTCTCCTTGGCGCCCCTCAAGGCGCTGAAAGTGCATCGTAACTCTGTGGAGGAACAAAACACTAGCCACAATGACTATCCGCTTTGTGGCGCATGCACGAGTGTTCAGTGGAACTGTGACAGCTGTCCCGACCAGAGCTTCCACGACATCTGCCATTGGTGATTCTGTAAGCCTCGACTGCAACTGTGTCCGCCAGCGCAACAACTCCAAACCTCGACCGTCATACCCACGACTTCGACGACGCACCTCAACCCTTCCTCGAGAAAAATCCCCGTCGACTCGAATCGCGCCGATCACGACGTATACGCTCCCGCCGACAACCACAAATTCCAAAAAACACCCTCTTCACGAGGGCCACACCACCGAGGGGAACTCGGAAAATCAGTCCAAGATGGTCTCAGCACTCACGAATCCAAGGCATCTCGCCTCCCAACTCCTAACCTTTGGCCTAATCCTCTCCTCAGCATTCATGGTACGCTTCTTTTTCGCCAATTGGATCCTTTAGAGCTCGCTTTCCAGAGCTAACAAGTTCGCAGATGTGGAAAGGTCTCTCCATCGCAACCGACTCCCCCTCCCCCATCGTCGTCGTCCTCTCCGGCTCCATGGAACCCGCCTTCCAACGCGGCGACCTCTTATTCCTCTGGAACCGAAACATATTCGCCGAGACTGAAGTCGGCGAGGTGGTGGTTTACAATGTCAAGGATAAGGATATTCCCATCGTACATCGCGTCGTGAGGAAATTCGGAACCGGGTACGTTTTTGCCTCTTTTTTTCCTGCTTCTTCCCCAATTTGTCTCCCGAATTTTGTACTTATAAGCTACTTTTTTAGACCGAATGCCAAGCTCTTAACAAAGGGCGATAATAACGTCGGCGATGATACGGAACTCTACGCCAAGGGCCAGGATTACCTCGAGAGACATGACATTATTGGGAGTGTGGTGGGATATTTCCCTTTTGTGGGCTACGTGACGATTTTGTTGTCCGAGTATCCTTGGTTGAAGACGGCCATGTTGGGTATTATGGGTCTTGTTGTTATTTTGCAGAGGGAGTAGACTCGTGCAGATAGGCCCCGTTGGTAGAGAAAAGGAGGTTGGTATATTTGTAGTATTATCATGGAGTTTTTACGGAAAGCAAGGTGCAAAAATATGGTTTTCATGCTTTTATTCCTCTAGAAACTATCATAAGAGGACGAAAACTAACGAATTGACACTCCCTCTGGATTGGGCAACATATGACCTCCGATATGTCTACCCTCAAACTAGTATCATAGTGTACAAGGACGTCTCTGTCGTGAACTCTATACCGGCTGCTGCCGTTCATAGTACAAAGATGAAATATTGTTAGCTTCTTCAAGAACCCGCACGGGCACTGGCTGCTTAGCCTTCCTTCTTCATGGTTGACTGACTGCCTTAATATTCCTCCTCGATAAGGTCGTCATCATCGTCATATCCATCATCGTCGTCATATCCACCCTCGTCATCCACAACCTCATCATCATCATCCCCGCCAATAAGATCATCGTCATCGTCAATGTCAACGGTCTCAGCGACCTCGGTACCCTCGTCACCACCAGCTTGGCTGGGAGTGGCGCTCGCAGCAGTGCCCGAATCGGCAGGGCTAGCCATGTCGAAAAGGCTGCGGATAGCATCGTAATTGATACGCGTAGAGAAGGCCCTCTCCTTCATGACATTAACGGCGGCTTCGGCGGCCGTGCTCGCGGGACTCGTCTGACCCTCTCCGATGCGAGGCTTCTTTCGGCGCCGGCGGGTGGCCTTGGGCTTGTCTGCCTCGGCCTTCCTGCGGAAGATTTTCTCCTGCTGGTTACGGAGCCAGTCTCGATTCTCGTTCACCCAGAGACGCTCCTTGACGAGGGACTCCTCCGCCGAAAGAAGACAATACATGACCTCGGGGTCGTTGGCGAATTCATCCTCGCCTACAATCTCGGACATGGAAACTTCCTTCTGGGGCCGGATCTGGTTGGCCCACATGGTGTGCAACTGCGCTCGCTGCTCAGCGTTACTGAAAGCCATGGCGTGCTCCATAGTCTGGGGGTCATTGAAAATCTCCGAAATCTCCTCTTCAAGCACGGTCTCGTCTCGCTCCCAGGCTTCGGTCACGGGCAATTTCTTTTTCGGGGCTTTGCCTTTGGCGGGAACCGAAGCGGCGTTTCTGGCGGTGGCTGTAGCAGCGTCTTCATTAATGGCTTCCTCTAAAGCATCCCCAAACTCCCCGGCCAACTTAGCCAGGGCGTCGGTGCTGTTAGGATCACCAAGCGACGGCACATCTGGAGCGGCAGCTACTGGAAGAGGTGGGATAACGAATCCATCCGCATCCCGGCGGGGCTCTGGGCCAGAAGATGGGGCGGAGATATTGGCAGCAGCAGCAGCGGCCGAAGCGCTTTCAGAGATGATCTTAGGATCGATGGGGATGGGCTCCTGGCCATCTCCTACGTCCACCATCTCAAGCTGTGGTGGTTGAGGTATGGGTGTGGCCGAAGGACTGTTACCCTCGCCGTCGACAACGGAGGTGGCGTCAGCCTCATCCTCGTCACCAGCATCGGTAGCCGTTCGCTTCCGCTTCCGGCTTTTACCCTTCATCATCTCCTTGTACTCATCGGACTTGCGGTAGAAAGAAGGGGGATCGTGCGAAGACTCGAGGAAGTCCTGGGTCAAAAAGTCCTCGACCGTCATGTTACTCGACTCGGTGAACTTGAACTCCTCGAGGCGGCTTTGGATAGTGTGGTTTGTGACTTTGACAATGTAAACAACCTCGCGGACGGTTCGGCGGAAATTGTTCATGCGGGCTGCCATAAGAAGACAGGCGCCACAGATACCAGAAGGGCGACGACCCATAACCATCCAGTCCCGGCTCATGCGTCGCACCAGACGGACGGCATCCTCGGCAACCTTGTTAGTCTTTTCGTAGAATTCGAGTCTGCTGGCAAATCGGTAGATGAGATCCTCGGGATAGACGGGGACCAGGCCGTCACTGCAGATTGGAACGGCCCTGTTGAGGGCCTTGAAGGCACGACCGAGGCGGAAAACATTGATCTGGGTGAGATCGGCAAGATCGATGAGCATAATTTTGCAGGGGGGCTCGTTTCGGCATGCTGCATAGAGACAAACTGCGGCGACCATGGGGAGAGTTCGACCTTGGATAAAGTTGGCGGCCGAGGCAAGTTTGAAGGCCTGCACACCAGCGGCCACCAGAGATTCGCTGATGTTAAGCTGATTGGCGAATCCTTGCATGAGCTGCTTCGCATCACGAATAGATCGCTCCCTCTCATCAGAAGAGCCACCAATGCGACGGAAGTTGGGACCAAGGCTTCGAACACCAGCCTGGTCAGCTCCGATATAGCTACCTTGGACTACGGCAGCACCGGCAGAGGTCTCGCCGAATTGAATTTCGGACACGATGTTGCTGTCATCGGCGACACGACCACAGCTGCGACAGGTACCATCGACGACATTTGGCCGGGTACAGCTTTTGTTGGGACACTGAAGCCCACCTGAAGGCCGCGTAGTGGCGGAAGCGGCAGCGGCAGCAACGGCAGCAGCTCGCTCAGCCTGGCGTCTCTCTTCATGCTCTCGCATCTGACGAATAGGGTTGGGCCTCTGAAGGGCCTTGGGCCTCATAGACTGGCCGCCCTTCTGAGCCCGCTTAGTGGGTGTGATGAAGGACGACATAGTGGGAAGAAAGGGTTGGGTTGCAGAATTTGAGGATAAGAGGAATCAAAGCTTAAAAAGTCGAATCTCGCGAGTGCCCCGGATGAGAGGAGATGAGAGGGGATGAGAGGCGGGACTTGATGTTGAACACAAGTCGGGAAATGGAGACGACCGGGGAGTCGGCACAGGGGATAGACTTGATGAGAAGTCGATGATTTGCGTTGGTTAGGTAGCGGTAGCTCGCCTCATTCCTTCCCCCGATCCTCCACTGGCTCACCAGAAGCCTTCCCCACGTTGTTGTGGCGGAGAAGCTGTATTGGCGAGATCAGAGGATCATTGGATTCCAGCCTGGAGTTATAACAAGACGGCTGAGATACCAGGGGCGTTTAAAAGGGCATCGACAAATATTTGGGGAGGGGTGGATGGATGATGATGGATGGATGGATTAAATGCAGGAGGGTATTGGGGAGAGGAGAATTGAGAGGGAAAATCGAGTGTGGGGTAATTTCGAGGGTTTTGGGGGGGATTTGGCGTAGCGGTGGAAACAAATCCATTTTTCAGGCGGGACGGATTTGTTCACGTGATTTACCCGATTCAACTGTGTTGATGAGTCAAATGGCTGCTGTTCAATTCTGGGTTCGTCCCGCCCCGACCACACTTTTTGTTCACAACAGGCAGACAAAAGCCTCAATTGCACCCGCCCGGCGGTTTGACGCGACTTGCAGGAGGCGCCATTCAACATTTCTCACCACAGTATGGATTTAGAATGTGACGCGAGCACGTAGTCCCACGTTTGATGGGCTGCATGTGGAATCTTTGCACCGTTCCAATCGACCCTACACACAGAAATGCTTCAGAGCATCAACATCAAATCTACCCCCTCATCATTGTCTCCGTCGTGTTCTCCCCAGATCTCAACTTTCAGCGGGCGATGATGTCAAGTTGTCGCTGCGCCCAATTCTTCATCAGGATGTCTTGCCGCTTTTGCGTCAAGTTCACCCAGCCAAGCCGACTTCCGGATAACCATGGCAAACAGGCAGAAGATCTGGACGTAGAACCAGAACACCAGATACAATAGCCACATCAGTGTATCCTCCGGGCTGTCCCACGGGGGTCTATCGGGTGTACGCAGGCGTTCCCAAGTTCTTGCCTAGCATCCCCAGGCAAGCCACTCGGGTGAGCCACATCACATGGCGGCAAGATCATTTCGGTATCCGGATTACACGATGTTGGATATCGTTAAGCCTCTTAGCCACTGGTTCCTCCAGCTAGAACCGGTTTATTGGAATTCTTCGTGACTAAGGGGAAGCTTGGATATAACTGCCTCGCCTCTACTGAGCACGAGACTATCACAAGCGCTCGTTACATTTAATTATTAGCTTCAACACTTCAATTTGATAATTCATCAAACGAATTGATGCTATTGAATTATATCCAAATGTAGTGAAGGGTTGGAGAAGTAAGGCCAGCATGGAGACATTTCATAATTGTATCAGGCTCATTTCCTTGGCCAATGTCCGTCGACCCCATCAATCCACACAACAATATTTGATGGAGGATCTTCCATCTGCTTAAAAAAGTCACGAATCTCCTGGTCGCTATACCGCAAGCTAAAATGCATAAGAATAAACGTCGTCTTCGGCCACTTTCGCACCACCTTCTCCAGCTCACTCCATATCGTATGCTTGGTTCTTATCGCCTGGTCTTTATGTTCGGGGTAAAGAAAGCTGCATTCCGTAATGACAACCGGTATACCCTGACGTAACCACTCGGGCTCAGCAAGTAATATGTCAGCCGTGGTGTCGCCCAGAAACGCGAGAAACGGGGCCCAGTGCGGAGCCGTGATCTCAACCCCAGACTCTCGGAGATCCCGGATTTCGTGTGGGGCGAGTGAGCTGTATTCCGACTTCAGCCTCTGGGTTACCAAACTAAAGACGTAGCCGAGACACGGAACGGTGTGGTCACAGGCAAAAGCAGTGGCGTAAATGTCCTTCAGACGGGGAAGGGGAACGACGTCTCCGGGCCGTAATCCGTGAGTTACATGGGTATTGAGCCACCGGGACTTATGGTGTTCTTCCTCGCAGTCTCCGTAGTGTATTAATTCCCCTTCGCCGTCTGATTCGGCTCCCGGGCCATCCGGGTCATGGGGTCCGACGAGGCCGCCGAGATTCAGGATCGAGTTCCCCAGGATAAACTGATCAAAAATCTCCGCAATTTCCACGGGGCAGTAAATATCCGGCGGGTCCTCGCGGTTTACAAATGCGGGTGATAATAGGGTGTGATCGTTATGGCCGTGGGTGAGAAAGATGTGCTTAGGCCGAAGCTTGTTCACGCAGAGTCCAGCGTCGAGGAGCAGGTTCAGCTGCTGGATGACGAATGAGGTGTGCCAGGCAGCGCGAGATCTTCCCGTCAAAACGTAGTGGCGGAAAGGTTTCGGGAAGCGCCACTCGAGGATGTCGGACCTGGGAGATTGTGGTAATGGTGTTGCGAAGTTTGGTTTATTGGGCATTGTGAAAGGTGAAGCTGATTGACAAGAGGGAGGAAAGTAGGACTGGGCGGGTGCAGGCACGACTTTCAGGTTGTGGGTGCGGCCCGCCACTTATGCATCGAACACAGGTGGCAACAGGATCAGATAAACGTCGACAATAAAGAGGAACAGGATCTCTTAAATAGATTCTCTTAAGGAGAAATGCCAAATCGATCGCCGGAATTTTATTCTTATTTTATTTCCGATTCTATTTTCATCTCCTAATTTCATCTCAGTTTTCTGCTTCAGTCTCTTCCAGGATTATTGGGCAGCGGTCTCGGGGGATGACGTATCGGCATTTAAGGTTTCTTGTGCGCTTGTACCCAAGTACATCAATACGTCAGCATTGAATTTGAGTCACCCGGACAGGCAGCTGAGACAAGGTAGCTGAGAGCGGCACTGACCGGTACTGACCGACACCAATTCTGACAGGTCGGTACGGCTTTACAGTCAGCCGGACCCCATTTTCAACCTCACCTCTTCATGCCGTGTGGCTCAACCACACCCAGTCGGACTTGGTTTCGTATGAGTACCCTTCTTTCCCGACAACAACTTAATCGTTTGTCTTCATATGTAGCTCTAGATTCTAGTTTTCCTTGAAGTGATGCTTACGGCGACATATATCGACACATTGGGTGCAATTCGAACATAGTAATGCTTGCCACTCACTTCATCCTTCACTCAACCAGTGATGCCAATATATGTGACACCTAGGGTGCTTAACTCACCTTAGTAAATCCTATTACAACAGAAGACTTTGAAGCATCTGCATAGAGAGTATGATTACTATCTGTCAGGTGCAACGAACCGTCTGCCCGATTTTTAGGACCGTGGTGACAGTCCTAGGCCGTATGCCATCACTCGCAGATTTCTAGCCATCTCGGTTCCTACACTTCATAAAAGGCTTTGAATTATTCCGACGTATTTACGCATTCAAGCTAGTAAGAATGAAGAGGGAGCGTTAATTAGTAGATAGGCGATTGGAGTATAGCAATCACTGGTGAGAAGCTCTAACGGGATTTGTCAGTATTACAAGTTGTCATGCTCTACAGGTCCGGTTGAATGCTCCAAGACAAGACTACAATGCAATGGAGAAACATATGGTAGCAAGAGGCACATCCTAACTGACACCTTCATATATCCCACCCCCAGTCCTGGTTGGATACCGACCCTAGTGTCCTAGTATGAGCATATCATCGAATATTCAGCGAGGATAGAATGATTGTACAGGATGGTTCCATTCTAAAACTTGAAGCTTAGGATCCAGTCTAATGAATATGGCTTTCATACCCAGAGATTTGAGTAATCTTGTAAGAGCCAGTGAGGTAACTGCTTTCTTCCCCTTTTGAGGTTGATTCCCCCTACTCCAGTCATCTTCACACAGACATCGCTCCTTCCTCCTTTACTTTCCCGTGACACGCATCCCACTGGCCCTAAGAAGATTGCAAATTTCCCTCCAATTGTGATCCATTTACTAAATCCACCCACTGCTTAAAATGAAGCTTCATAACTCCAGTCCTGAATCACTTCAACATTCAAGCCCCAACTCCAGCTCACATATCTAACCGATTGCTGTGATCTGAGGTCTTTCCCCCATAACTATAAATTCTGTGCCCTTGACGGAAAATTCCTATTCTCTCCTCCTTCACCACCACATTCCTTCATTTCCACAAACATACTGAGCACTTGCTCTCATCTTCCCAATTCACAAATTCCCTCTCCCATTACTCAACTCAATCATATCTTCCTTCGAGAATCTAATTCTCCCTTCTTCGGTCTTGAATTCCACTCATTGTCTTGCTGCATGGTAGGTAGCCCGCCACCATGTCAGACACTTCGAAGGGACTGGCCATTTGGCCTTACTTCATCCTGTTGATCCTTGGATCATTCCTTTGCATTGGAAATGCTGTTACGACTGATGGTAAGCGGAAAACCTCGACTTCACTCCTAGAATATTTAATGTCGTTACTGACAACATAATTCAATTGGCAACAGCTACTCTCTCCGCGAATATCACGCTCTCACCCTACGGTGTGAACACCCCAGCTCTGGCCGCTGGATCACTACTCAATAGCCGCCATGACACTGTTTCACCACTGCCCTCTGCCTATGATCTGGCCTACATGGACTTCGATTTTAATGGTGGAAACCTGATGAACCGTGAAGTTTCATCCGGCCCAACCGCATCAGATTGTCCATGCTGCATCAGCCAGACTGGTTCGACTCTTCCGCCTTTCTCCACGGCCTCGAGGGATCCGCGCCCTGATGTTGCCCCGGGTTCTTTCACTGGATCCGTGTCAGATTGGACCTCAACAGTAACCATCCCCGGTCAGCCAATTGCCAATAACCGGATCATGCAATGCGCAGCATGTGAAGGAAGTGTCTGTGTCGAATGGTATGGCTCAGAAGCACCAGTTTCTGAAACCAGCCTCTCCCGACGAGACGAACCAGATCTCCTTCAGCCGTTCTTGACAAATCCAGATGGTTGGAAGGCCGGTTCATTCGACTGGTGGAGAAAGGCGTACGACAATGTCAGGCTTTTTGGTGCTAGCTTTGGCCCAGGCATCAAGAACAGAGAAAAACTTGATCCCGTCGTGCGGAAGTGGTCCCATGGATCCCACGCCAAGTTTATTCCATTCGACTTCACGACCTCCACCGGAGAACGTATTTATCGTGAGAAAGGCTTCATTGGCGGCGTCACTCCTATCTGGGGCTGTACTGCTATTTTGATCGCCACAGACCGTGGTGTGTACACGGCCCACCTTTGGGAGGTGCCAACATTCAAGCCACCGGGCACCCTCACTCGGCCGCGGAGGGAGGCTGAGTTGGAGTGGGACTGGAGGGTTACCCAATTCTTCAAGACAGGAAACGAAGGAATCATCGAGCCCAAAAGCCCAGCTCTGGCAGAGTTAGCCGCAGAGGGCCGTGAATTCTCAGACGTCACTCGAAGGTGGATCAGGGTTCACCTTTGGACCCCATATAACACGTACAACATTGGCACTCCGAGGTTTCCTGACCTGGTTGAGAAGATTGATGAAGAATTGATCCACCATCTCAAGATCGAGAAGTCTCAAATCCACCGGCATCTCTACATGCGCAAGCCACCTAAGGACGCATTCGGGAATGACATTAACCCGCACGAGTTCTACAGTGCTCAACCGGGAACGTCGCTCGTAATGTATCAATACGCCCCGAAGGAAAAGAATGGCGGGCAAGGCGAGGTCATTCAAAGTGGAGAAGATGACTCGGAAGACGAGGAGTCAGATCACGAATGGGACCTTGACTACTGGTCGTCTGACGAAGATGCGAATATTGGCAAGGGAAAACAACCCGCGAGGAAGCCTGAGCCGAAGCCGAAGCCCGACGAGAAGCCTGGTGACAAAACAGGCGAGGAACCTTCGAAGCCCGGCCCGGAGTTGAGGGCTCTCAGGATTTGGTTTGACCGGAAACAAGTCGAGACCAAACTCTGGTGTCCCCATGGGGCCAACTGCGAGGAGTTTTGTGAGCGAGAGATTGGTCTCCTTCAGCAGACCTCTCCAACGTCCACTCAGGCCCTTAGTAGTTTCTGGCGGCGTGCAAAGGGAATCATTTCGCCCCGGACTCCCAGAACCCATGGCGGCTTGTTTGGTGACAAACTCACACACCCCGACGCTTGGCCGAGCAGGAGGGCGTGGTGGGAGCGTGTGTACCATTTCGTGACGTCCTACGGGGCAGTCGCGGATCCTATGGGGGTTGAGAGTGGCGATGATTATTCCCCGAACAACGCTGTTTATACCCCACTTGGCGATTACGGCATCGGAGGCGGTACGGGCCCACTCTTTGGATGTACGGCTCTTCTCATAGCCACAGAGAAAGGCGTGTATGTCGCACACATCTGGCAGCGTCCCACCTTTGTTGGGGCATCGCACGACCGCCACGTTCGAAGCCCTCACCTATACGAGCCCGAAGCACTCTGGAAGCGTCGAATTACGGACTTATTTGAACTTGGCACGCAACCTAAGGCCGGGTCCTCAACCCGACCTGGTCCGTCGCTTGTGGAACTTTCCCAGGGCGAGCTCGGTCCAGCTGGCCCCGGCGGGTTTCGCGTCGTGTTCCTCATCGTTCCGGACCGCACGCGTGACATACGGGCTAACCTCTCAGGCAAGCCAAGATACAAAGAGGGCACTAAGCGTCTGAAGCGTGAAGTTGCAGATATCTTGGGTATTAGCAGAAAGGATATCCATGTCCGCACCTACTTCAAGCGCGAGCCCGGTTCTACGTTCGGATTTTTACACCAGGAAAACCCGGCCTATTACAGGCAGAACGCCGGAAATAACCTACTTTTCTGGCAATATGGTCCCGCCCATAGTCCGCCTCAACAACTCACCGGCCAGGACACTGTCAAGGCAATTCGGATTTGGTGGGATAAGCGAGTGATTGCCAACATTGAATGGTGTCCGGAGAACGCTGAGTGCCACCCCGTACCTAGCTGTGGAGCTACCGATGATGAATCAAGTGGAGAAGCCGGACCATCTCTGCCACTTCTCCCCCGAAGCCCCGCGGCTGGCCTGTTGGCTGGATATGATGGCGCGAACGATACTGTCAGCCCTCATAATGTCCCTGGTTTCGATCTGGTTAGGCGCGGGGAAGCCGCTCCCTCTCAGACCTCCCAGGCACCACCCGAATCAGCTACCTCCGAACCCGCCTCGCTGGCACCACCTGACGATTACAATGGTCTTTGGCAAGACGGAATTTTCCAACCACAGCTCACGCATCCCGACCACTGGGAATTGGGACCGAACGACTGGTGGCGTCAAATGAAGAACAACGTTGACATGCACGGCGCGAGTACTGGAAAGGGGTATCCGTCACCAGACGATTTCTACTCCGACCATGCCACCTTCCGTAAGTTTACAGAGAATCCCATCGGTACAGGAGTGACCCCAATGTGGGGTTGTACCGGGATGGTTGTTGTGAGCAACGTCGGAGTCTATGTCGCCCATTTCTGGCAAATCCCTTTGTTCGAGCACAATGATCCACGATCAACGAATAGATGGTCCTACGAACCGGAAGATATTTGGCAACGGCGCGTTCCCAGGCTCCTGTACCATGGGTATCCTCCTAAACCGGAGTGGAAGCGCCAGCTCCCCGCTGTCCCTGCGCTCGCGGATCTCACGAAACCCGGACAGGCTTTTGATCCCGACTTCCGTGACTGGATCAAGGTTACGATCATCACTCCGGATGCAGAAACTGGTAGACGCACGAAGACTGAACTTTACGCCGACAAGATCGAACGTCTCCGGCAAGAAGTCGCCGAGGTCCTCGATATAGATCCCGACGGACCGGATATGATGACCCGTACCTACCGTATCGATCAGTATCGTCAATTCGGTCAAGATTCCGACGATATGGATGCCCTCTTTGACAACTTGCCCGGCGTCCACCTGATTGGCCTTCAGTATGCGCCCGACAGCTCTTCCTATAGCAAACCTGAAGAAAAGGCCAGATCGTTGAGGCTGTGGTGGAGCCGGAAGATATTGTGGAGGATCGACTGGTGTCCACCTGACGAAGAATCTGATTCTGACAGTGACGAGTCAATAATCAGTGGCAAAGGGAAAGACAAAGTTTGCGGCTCGCGATCCGGTTCCCCCAACGCGCCCCCCAAGCCGGGAGAGGATAAAGGAACTTCGATGGACGGCTCGCCGACCGGCAGTGCCAACAGCGGATCACCGACGAATGGAACTGGTGGTCAACTTCCGTCGTCGAACGCTACACTCACCGGATCGGGAGTAGTAGGCACGGGGATTTCCGCACCGACGAATGGTTCTACTGTTTTGCCTAGTTGGACCAATTCTACAATCACCTCGACGTCACTCGGTGTCTCTGGAACGGCGGGTACAGAGGTTTCGATCACCGGATTGCCAACGAATGGTACTTCGGTTGAAACACCGTCGTTCAATGCAACAACCACTTTGATGCCAACTGGTACCTCTAACACAACGGGCACCGAGGTTTCGATAACGGGATTCCCGACGAATGGTACTTTGGTTGAGACTCTGTCCACTAATACAACAACCACATTGATGTCTACTGGCGTCTCTAACACGACCACAGTGCTCTCCACTGACACGGGTCTTTTGATTACGGGATCACAAACAGGCGGTAGCATGGGGCAGCCAACGATGACCGGTACCCTCAACTCTACCACCGTGCTCTCTGGCTCGGAGTCGGAAGCAGGGACAGGAACCTCGATGATCGTATCGTCGACGACTACTACGAAGGCGCCTCGACCAACTCCCTCGGGCAATACATGCGGCATCCAAATTGCTCGAAAGGTCTTCCCATACCAGGATATGTACACGGAGATGACGGGCATCATGGGGAAGTTCGAAGTATTCCCCAACAACACGCTGGGCATCTTCTATGTGACCTATGCCGAGATCTTCAACATTACACTTGGCGACATGGTCCAGCTTTACAAACGGGACACGGAACAACCCTTTGACATGCGCATCTACTCTGGCCAGTCGTGGCAGGATCACCTGTGGAACAAGGGCTACAGATGCGAGTGTGACGGACCCAACGGAGCCTGCGACATCTACTCGCGCAAGTGCTGCTCCGCCGGCAACTGCGACGACGTGGATCCGTACATCTGCAATTGCGAGAACCCGGACACCAACGACGTTCTCTGCTGGCCCGACCACGAAGATGTGGCGTCTTGCTGCGTGACGGAGGAGGGATGTGGTTGGGTGGTTCGCGATCCGGACTTGTCTCGGCCGCCGCTTGACCAGAATTTGCCTAGGTTCAAGTACGCGGGTTGGCATTGGCATATGCATGCTCCGAGGCCGAGGCACGGTTTGCCGTATCCGCCGGAGCAGCCTTGGTGTGAACCCTTGCCGGACCAAATGAATGACTTTGGTGGAGGAGAAGTCGGCGATCCCGCATTTGGTCATGTAAGTGGTGTTTTCTTCCCATCTAATTCTTACTTGTAGATTCATTGACTAACTGGTTGGCTTGTGCAGGTCTACAACTATATCTGCTACTTCAATTGCAACGGCGAAGACGGTCGCTAGATCACCGAACCCCCGAGTCCCAATTGATGGCGGGCGTGTACGATTATATTTGAACGAGAGAATTCCCAACTGACCCATTTCCCCCCAAAACCGGACGGACGACACGAAACGGATCCAGTCACTCAGATTGTTAACCCCCCGACTGCGAGACGACGAACAAGACAAGACGTAGCACCATTTTCTACCAATTGCCTTTTCCACCGACGCACCCCATTACGAATGATGAATTACGAGACATGAGATACGGATTAAAAAAAGGAGCATGGTATCGGCGTTTCCTAGATTGTATTTTCGCACAGAGATACCCATGATGCGTTCCTGGTTTTAGGTGCAAGAAGGAAAGACTGCTTTCGTGGTCCCCAGTGAGCTGCCGTTTGTTTCGCGAGAACAAGGCATGCTTCATTCGGTTCCAGCTTGGGGGATGGTCGCTAGTCTTCTTTTGTTTCTCCTTCGTCTATTTCACGATCCGTTGTATTTGAGCCTTGTTTCGTTCTGGTCGAATAATCACAAAAATAGAGGTGTTTATCCCCAAAAGATGGTCGTACCACTTTGCACTTGTGATGTGATATATGTGTGCCTCTCTGTATTAGCTCAATGTTTCCGAGCTTGGTTTTTTTGACTATGGAGTACAAGTTCTTCAACCTCATCTCGGTTCTGCGACGCCTGTGCAAGCCTGAATTAATGGTAGGGAGGTGACCACGTGAGAGAGTACCAATTCATCATCCCCGACGTCTCGAACAAGGTACTTCGTAGAGGAAACAAAAATAAAGCTTCCGAGTCATCCTGAAGAAACAGGGAGGACGATTCGTAAGGTTCCCGGTTCAAAACGCGACGCATGGACACCAGCGAGCCAGGTTTTGGCACGGGATGGATGGTATCATTCTTAGATGACTTCGCACTTGATAGGAGGGAGGCCCCCGGATAATGGTATTTTCCGCTCTGGCAGAAATGGGATCTTCACTTTTCTATGGATATATATCATGGGCGTGATATAGGACGGGAATGGATGATGGATTGATCAAAGCGAATGGAGCTTGGGTCAAAGAGAGGCTACCGGCAGGGAAAGGAATAGACAACGCCAATCGGGTTTCAACTCGATTTGAGTATGAATACCACTGGTGTTTATGTTTTGATGTCTGATCTTCCATGGAGATGATTGCCATTGTCGTTGATGAGGCTGGCTTTGTGTGGTGGTGATGATGATGACGATGATGATGATGATGCATATGTGCATACACCATACAGCGCACCCCTTACATGCGTATACTTGCATACTTTCATGCAATGCATCTTCAAGCATTTCCAGACAACGTATCGCACGGGTCGCATTGTGCCGTGTCGAAGCGAGGATGCGATGCGAGGTCAATTGAACGCCCATGTTTTGCATTTGCAACTCAATCACTTCGTATTACTCCAGAGGCAAAGAATCAAGATCGCTGTTTCTGTTGTCTCAAGTTGCAGTGCCGAACCGAAAGCAGGGAAGAAGACCACTTTGACGTTGGAATGTGATGGACGGAGACTTTTTGGAAAAGGGAATGGAAGAAAGGAAAATGCAATCTACCGTTACAGCCAGTGTGGGGAGCGGAATGCAAGTACCAGAATCCTGGTTGTTCGTTGATATCATTGATAGGCTGTGCAGTACGAAGTTGTACGACAGTTGAAGGACGTAATTACAAGGATTGCGTCTTTAAGATTGCTTTGGAGAAGTCTGGGATATCAGACTGAATCATGAATTGATGATCGAGTATCAATTGTGGTCGGCTCCGCTCAGTCTCTCCTGGAGGAGAGCATGTCCTTCGTCGTGATGCAAGTAAATCAACATGGGGAAATTGAATATTTTATAATCCGTAAGAGGTAGATCAATTGGTATCAGTTAATTTGTTTGATCTTTCTTTCAGATTCCGGGTCAAAGATGTCTTGCCCAAGTCCATAAGTCCATCTGGTATTACTTCGTACTTGTATACTCAGTACCAGGACATCCAGGGTGTACCTCGGTATTCCGGTACATTTGTGATAGGGAAACCACTGCGAAGTCGAGCAAGAAAACCGCCCATTGATCTGTAATTATATTTGTACATTGCTACACATGGACGTTGATACTTATGTACTTGTGCGGACATTGTAAATTGGGGGAGGGAGGGTCCAGAGAGCTCCAGCCAGCCGGTCCACATATCCAACTCGACCTCTTTCATCCGATGATACAAGTAATGTACGACAACAGGCACGCATGCCCATGCCAGTCTAGATTAATTCTTCCCCATCCGAGCCCCTCGGCTTTCAGCCCCATCTCCATCCTGCCAAAGAGAATTCCTCGCAGTCCGTTCCTCCCTGGCCTTCTTCGTTCCCTTCAACATCTCAACTCCCCATGCCATGGTAAAGTCGCTGCCGCAGCATTGACGAACGCTGCTACCTCCCGCCCGCACCTAGGCACACCACCACATCAAACCCTAGCCAGGACCCCAGTCGCAAGGTAACTGTGACGAGACTCGATACTTCATCCATTAGAGGTCAGTGCTCCGCTTCATTACCACGCTGGGATGCAATCCGAGCCTCTCAGACCCTCCGAATCTTGCCACCCCCCATTTCGCCTTTTTTTCCCTTTGGCTCTCCCACGAGTCAGTCCCTTGTCTGGCGGAAAGGGTCCAGTTCAAACACGACCCAGGTGCCAGAAACCGCTGCCTTGTCGTAGATCATCTGCTTCTTTTCTCTCCTTCCAGAGCATCAAATCTAATTTATGCTGTCTCCATAGCCAATTCCGAGCCGACCATTCAAGTCCCAGCCGAACCTAATTATTCTTGCGAGATCGCCTCGGATCGGTATCCAAATATAACTCTGTGACTCTTGGGAGGGGGGAAAAAAGAAAGAAGGCCCCGATATCATCTGAGACTGGAGAAAGAGCGACGATTCGATTTGCCAGTCAGTCAATGGGCAGTGCGACACTCCAAGATTAGTTGTCTCACTCGACCTTCAGATCATAAAACGCTCCCACCATCCTCCGCTACGAAGGACGAAGCACAATTTTGCTTCCCGCATAAAGAGCATTGGGAGAAGAAAAAGTTTGCTGAATTGGACAAATTCGATTCCAGAAAGAGCATAAACACGTTTCCCAAACCAACTTGGGCAGTCCCCAGCGGGCCCTGCGGCTTCAACCTTCACGCTAGTCAAGACGCCGGCGGACTCAATTCGGGCATCGTCCAGGAACACCATCAGCAAGCGTCTCCATCGGGGTCACAAGGATCCCAGCTCCATTTATTCCCCCCTGGGGGAATCCTTGTTCAGTACTCAATCTCTCGTACCACTTGGGCCTGTCCCAGACGTTCCAGCTCTGGAATTACAAAGTACACTCCTTCGTACGAACGAAAGACTTCCGACCTGTTGTTCACCAAAAAACGATCTTAGGAAGAGGAACGTCCCGTCCGACTAACCCCACCATCAAGTTGACCCTTCCCAGTGGCTTGAATTCGATTCGCGCCCTCCAAGCCTTTAAACAACGAAGGAGTGGACGGCGAACGACGCGAACGGGTTTGGCTTGACTGCTGGTAAATCGGTGTCTCCAGTTTAGGCTAGAGCTTCCCCCCTTTGAGCCTCCCTTTTTCTCTCCGAAGAACGTGATCAAATCCGCGTCCAGGTTACCGAATCCGTCCGCATTACCCCCTTAACGCGATCGACACCGTCGTGGGTACGAGAGGAATTGATCATTGCTTCAATTTGGGCACTCGGGAACAAGCATCATAATTGTGTACACTCTCCATTCACACCGGCACGCACCCGCAGACACAGCATACACACAACTCGTGTCCTTCTTGCTGGAGATTACCATCCTTTCGTACGCAGGTCCACATTCCACCTGCATTTTTCGTCTCGTCTCGTCTCGTCCTGTCTCGGTTCGACCTCGCCTCTTCGTCGTCCTTCCACAAGCGCATTTGGCTCCGCGCTGTAGCGTTGCGTTGTCCTGCATCTCCCTCCGTGCGTTGCAAGTTTTATTACGCCACACCTGACACTTTCCAGACGCAGGTTGAACCATTTGACCCTGCGTTATTTCTCCACTTTCCCAACCCACACACCAAAAGAAGGACGCGAGACCGACAAGAACACACCATCCCTTTCTGCATCTCCCACTTTCGCTACGACGAGTCGGGCCAAAAAAAGTAGTAGTCGACGAAAGTAGAGGATACCGCATGATTGTACCCTTCAACTCGGTCACTGCTGCTTCTGCCACCGCTCCCCATTCCTGCTGCCGCTGCCCGTCCAGTCCCTGCACGAGCGCTGCGTCTGCTCGTCATTGCTCCGATCATCACCGCACGCCGCTACACTACCAGTTTTAATTTCTTTGTTCCGTGCCAATCCGCCGCCATTCCTGCTGCTCCTGCAGCCGGGCGGACGTACGAGAAGTAGTTCTTAACTCTTCTTAGCCATGGACCCTCCAACGACCCATCCTCCCCCTATCCCAAGACAGAGCCGTCATCAATCGCGCCAAAGGGCTTTACAGAACCATCCGTCGTCGTCGAACACGTATTCTCGGCCGCTCGAGTCTCGCCAAGGACAAGTACCTCCCGCGTCACCCGAAGTCATCTCATCCCTAATCACGAGCCTTTCGGTCATCTCGAAGCCCGCAAGCAACCACTTCGAAGGACCGGCTGCTAACTTTTCCGCCCCTGGATCGCCTCGCGAAGGAAGCTTCGGCGTCGACTACGGCGCGTACTCCCAACCTTCGCAGGACGAGGATCACGCCCACGGCCTCTCTCTCGACGAACTCGCCGCCAGCCCTCCCGTCATCCGAACCGCGAAACCGCCATCGGGCTTCTCGCCGCTGACTGCTCCCAAGTCTCCGTCCCACGAGCCCAGTGCCTTCAAGTCTTTCCTCAGGACCGCCTCCCGCCCGTCGTCCAAGGGCTCCCTCGGTTCTCGCGACGATACCCAGAGCATCGGTAACCTGTCAATCGAGCGAGGAGTCTCTCCTCAACAGCCTGAACTCCAGAGAAAGCGATCCCATGACAGCTGGGGCAAGAAACAAGGTCGCAGCCAAAAGGGGCTCATGTACATGAGCTCGAAAGAGAGACTACGTGAGAGGGAACTCGAGAAAAAGCGGGCCAGCATCGGCGCCGTAGGTGGAGCCTTGAACGGCTTCAGTCCCGCGGCGTCCTCGCGTCCCGATCCTTTCCTCGCCGAGACCCCTATCACGGAGGAGCAGTCCGTTCACGAGTCACCGCGGAGAGATCCGAGCCCAGAGAAGACCAAAACTACTACCCTCACCGTAACAATGCCTGCTAGTGTTAACGTGGACCTTCCAAGTCCTCGACCGATACCCGCCCGTGATTCCTCTCTAAGGAAGACAGGATCTGGGTCCAAGAGGTCATCTGCGAGGCACTCCCGATCCAAGCGAGACGGCGATCTACCCACTGATACTATTCACGAAACTGACGAGCACACACGATCCCGAGACACCCCGACTTCTACTAGCCCTCTTCCCCCTCCCGTGCCGAGCAAATCTCCGGAAGTAACCACTCTCAGGCACCCCGCTGCGCAAAATGTTACCACCACCACAATCACCCGAGAATTCCCATCATCTTCCAAATCGCAGCCGTCCCATTACCGCTCCCCCAGTAACAGCCGGTTGGAGGGCATGAACATCCACCCACATAGCGCTGATGACCTCGACAATGAAGATTTTGCCCCCTTCCCATCCGTCGCACAAGGCCGCAGGCGAGATGCTAGCTACGACCGTGGTCGACGGCGTTCCGGCCAGATCACTCCCGATCCTCTTGATAGCGTACGAATAAAGAGGAGCAGCTCCAAGCTGAAACGCGGATCTGGTCCTCTGAGCCCCCGAGCAGCCGAGGATAAGAACGGCGGCAACCGCAGTCGCTTGAGCTCCCCCGAACCTGCAGTCCCACACGGCTACGAGCGACCCCGAAGCGCCGATTCTATTGATGATGCTGTTGAGTCGTACCTCTGCTCCCCGAGGCTATCGCAAAAGATTCGGCATCCACAGACTGGGAGGGTCATTTCATTTTCCGAAGTCGGAGATTCCGAGGGCTCGGCGGTATTCTGTTGCGTTGGCATGGGTTTGACGCGATACATTACGGCTTTCTATGACGAACTTGCGCTTACGCTTAAGCTTCGTCTCATTACGCCGGACCGACCTGGTGTTGGCGATAGCGAGCCGTATGCCGACGGTACCGCTACGCCGCTCAGCTGGCCTGGTGAGTATCTCTCGCCGTTTTTGGCATTTTTGGCAACGTGGTCACGCACGTGCGAAGTGTGTGTGCTTTCCGGATTATTAGTACTAATGTGGATCTAGATGACGTTTACGCGATTTGCCAGGCACTCAAGATTAACAAGTTCTCGATCCTTGCCCACTCTGCTGGTGCCATCTATGCCCTTGCGACGGCGCTTCGAATGCCGCAACATATTCGAGGACGGATCCACCTCCTTGCGCCATGGATCCCTCCCTCGCAGATGAACGTCTTCGGAACCTCGCAGAACTTGCCGCCGACGAATGCGATCCCCACGTCCCAGCGCATCCTGAGGGCGTTGCCGACACCGATTCTCAAGGCCGCGAACAGCTCCTTCATGTCGGCGACGAGCAGCTCGATTACCAGTTCCCTGCCCAAGACGCAGCGCAGGGGCAAGAGGAAATCGAACAACAACCGTGCGTCTGATGCACCGACGCTAGGCGACCAACCAACCCGGGGTGTCGCGAGCAACGACAAGGAGAACATCGGGCACGACGCGCAGAAGAATGGGCAGGCCAATGGTGATGGCGAGCAGCTATCCAACGGCGCGGGTGTCCCCACGGCGACGGAGAATATGGATCTCGTGCGGCCTTCGGGAGGCCAGGGTGCTCACCTAAAGAATTCCGAGCGTGCCGTCATCGCCGCTGCGGCCACAGCGATGGCAGACAAGGAGAGGCAGATGACGTACGATAACCGGCTGACCCACGCTATTTGGGAACTGGCGACGACGGGAGCGAACCCCGCCGTTGATTTGCTCGTCTGTCTCGAGAGGCGGCATACTATCGGCTTCCGATACGTCGACATTACGAGGCCCGTTGTGATCCACCATGGCAGCCGGGATACGCGCGTGCCGGTGGAGAACGTCAGGTGGCTTGGTAAGACGATGCGGAGGTGCGAGGTGCGCGTGCTCGAGGGCGAGGGCCACGGTCTCATGGCGAGTGCGACGGTAATGGGCTCCGTGCTGATGGAGATTAGCAAGGAGTGGGAGGACTGGATGCGCGTGACGGGTACGTCTAGGACTAGGAGTGGAGACCGAGGCAGGCGCATGGGAACCGCGGTGAGGTAAACGAACGCTCAATCCTTTCCTTCGTCTGGTCTTGAATGGGGGAGACATGATGTTGCCCCCTCTTTTCTTTCTTTTTTCTTATTCTTCGATCTTGTTTACCCCTTCTTAATTGTAGCCAGTGTACTATTAGCCTGGACCATCACCTTGTTATACTTGCTATCGAATTTCCTTATATTATTCTCCAGGGGATGGACCTGGTGGGCTAGGGATCTGGGAAGAGACACAAAAGGTGGATATGGTTCCCGTATTGATTTTTTTTTCTAACACTTTTATTTCCTTTTCTTTTTGCCCTTCTTCCTTGTCGAGTTGATTATATATGGGCCTTACTAGTCTTTTGCTTCTTCTTCTTCTTCTTCTTCGGATCTTTTGTATCTAGCGCAAGCCGTTGGCTATCAGCGTGGCCGGTTTCTTTAGTCCTAATATGGTTGGGGAGAGAGAGAGGAGAGTGGAAGAGATACGAGTTGGTCCGGCGACAGTTAAAAACGAAGCGAGGGTCGATATGGGGAGAAAAGAAAAGAGCAGTGATGTACTTCACGTCCAAATACGACTAATAGATTTGTTGATTCGTCAATTTCGTTGCTTGTTTTCGCTGCTGTAGAGATCATTCTCGTCATCTACAAACACTCCCCTTTGTCATGATTCCACACTTCGCTCCTGGTTTCAGAACAGCTCATACCCAGTCCTACATAAAGCGTCTCAATCCCAATTCACCTCGATCCCAGTAAACTCTGCCTCGAGCTCCCCCAGCGCCTCATCGCCCGCCGGCCTAGCCGCCATTGCCGAAACCTCGACCTCCCAATCCCCCTTCCCCTCATCCTCCTTCCCCAACGCAAAAACCCAACAAACCTCCCTCAGCGACTCCTTCCCCCCATCTTTATTAACAGCATACACCCACAAACTCGGTCCATGGTGATCGATCATCCTCTCAACGCGTATCGTCGTCTTAACGACCCCTTCCTTCCCCTCGTTCAAAGGATCAAGGAGAGGAGCGACGGACCAATCGGCCCATTGGGGGCATGCTACTGTGGATAGGCGTGGGGAGCCGTTGTAGAGTTCTACGCCGGTTTTGATCCAGGGGAGGGCGGTTGGTTCTTGGGATGAGGATGAAGGGGGGTGGAAGGTAAGGAGGAGGCCGGCTTGGTCGTATTGTGTTGTCGGGAGGAAGGTTAGGGTGAGTTGGGCAGAGGTGAAGGTTGGGAGGGGACGGCGGGCGAGGGGTGTGAAGGGGGCTGTTTTTTTTTTTTTTTCTTTTTGTTAGATTTTTTGTTTTTAATTCTGTTTATATTTCTGGGGGGAATTGGGGATACGGACCGTTGAAGGCGTTGATGTTGGGGGGTTTGCGCCAGATGTCGGTGTTGGGCTTGGCGGAGATTTTGATGGTGGAAGTCATGATGATGGGGGACAGGCAGCTTTTTCGTACGTGAGAGCGAGACTGGATGAAGGTGGAAAAGAAATAAAATGAGAACGTGGTAGATGGTATTTATAGCAAGCCTAGCTTTGCGCAGTAATCCATCTATCCATCCGCCGGACATTTCAAGGTGTCATCGTTGCGTGTCGTTATGGAGGGGGACGCTCGGATGAACCCCGCGTTGTGTGGGTTCCGTGAATCCGGGCCGAGGAGCCGGCGTGGAGCGGGGGTGGGATGGAGAATCCCTCCTAGCTTGGCTTTCGTTAGCCTTGAGTTTTCGAAGGGGGAAGGGGGTGGGGCTTAGGATGAGCATAGAACGGAGTTGAGGGTTCGATTCTCTCCATGTCGCTGAATTGCTCACAGGGAGGGAGGGTGTGACATTTCTCGTTCCCTTCGGACTAAACAGACATAGATACGCGGTGGTAGAAGCCAAATTCCTTCATTCTCTGTCGGCTGGCGAAGGGTTTCCTTCTTTTAAGGTTCTATTTTTTTTTTTTTTTTTTTTTCATTTAATTTTTCTCTTTCCTTTTTTAACCCCTTTCTTTTCTCTTCTCGGCTCATGAGTTGCATGGTGGCCCGATCTGGAAGGTAATTCCTCCGAGTCTAAATTTCCGCAGGGCCCCTAATGTGTCTTCTGGGTCTGCCTCTGTTCTTAACCGTAATAATATATTTGCCACTCTTCCTCTGGTGTAATTGCTAAGATTTGCTTAGCCCTATGGTCTGGCCGGTCTCATCTTTCTCTCCCTGCCTCTGTTCATGCGGTCCGGAGCCGAAAGACCCCCGGGGCAAGGGTGGGGCGTCAGTCTCCGGCTTTGGCCCCACTTCACCCGGGGACCCGGGTCGGACACCTCCAATGAAATGGTCGCCGCGCAGGAAGTGGGGAAATTTACATTTTCAGCGGCAGTCTTAAGCGTATCTTGGCATGGGGTATTCGAAAGGGAACCTGGACGCCTCGGTAGATCTTGGAATTTTGTTGGGGGGTATTCGTTGTAATGGAGGTTCGGGTAACATTGCCAGCATCGGGGAGAACAGAGAGAAAAAAAATAATAATAAAGCCCCCCCAAAAAAAAAAAGAGAAAGAGGAGGAGAAGTAAGGATAGAGAGAGAGAGAGAGAGAAAAGAGGAATAAATTTAGACTACCTCGCCATTGCGTGGTCATCTGTCTTGTATACAGTTGGACTCATCCCCGCCAATACAACAGCAGGGAACTGCTGGCATTTAAGAGATATTTTCAAATACATATTGACAGAAAGCAATGATTGCCCCCCGACAAGGCATACTACAACTCATCAATAGACGATCGCAGAGATGACGGAGAAAAACGTTCAGGTGTTTCCTCGTAAAAGTACCGGTAAAAGTTCTCACTGTTCACCTCCGCCATCATCCTCTCGTTCTCACGCAACATTCTCGACCGAAACTCCCGCGCCTGGGACGGCGTGATGACGGGAGATTCTCGGGCGGCCTCATTGAGGATCTGGTTGAATAACTCCGCTGGAATGCCCGCATTTCGCAGATACGATCCCGGGAAGACGTCGCGCATCCACCAGTCCAAACGCTGGGGCACTACTCTCCTCGTCGAAACGATGCGGTAGTTGGGGTCCACTAGGAAAATGCTAAGGAATCGGATGTGACCGGGCTTCGAGGCGTCCTCTAGTTCAACGGGACCCATGCGGTGCTGCAGTATGCTGGGGAATGCGATGAACGCCCCTTCTGATATAGATATGGACCCAAGTTCTTGGGTATGGGGTATCGCCCGTTCACGCGTAAGGTCGTCAATGGCAAAGACGGAAATCAGTTGCTTACGCTCGATACATTCGGGATCCCTGGAGACTAACTCGGAGGTAAAATCGGCGTGAACCCGGAAAGCCATAGACGCCGAATCTGCTACATTTGTGACGTCGAAGAAGTAGGTCGAAGTGGCAACGATATGCTCGTTAAATAGCCCTTCGATTGTCCAGTCGCCACCGTCATAACGCGGCCTTTCCGGTGTGAGTTCAACGCTTTGAATCTTGACGAAGACTTGGAGTCCCTGACGCCGAAAGGTATGCTGCAGTTTAACATTGCGATATTCGTGGTCATACTCCTTCAGGAGAGAGCGTGATTGCATTTCTATGGCATCTTCGCGAGACATGGTAGGGCACTCTTCGGGAACTGGGCAAGGGCTAAACGGACAAACCGGAGAAGGAACGTTATCCGGAGAGTCTTGATCGGACACCCAGTCTCCGCTCTCCTGGGGTGCCGCCACAGGTGGCTCCATAACGTCAATTTGAGTCTGCGTGTGGTCAACGTCCTCATAACGTTCCAGACTCGGCCCATCTGGAATAAGCGCCGCCAGAAGATCGTCCAACGACGCTTGTTGACTGGGTGGTATCTTTCCTGATTTCCATTCCTCGAATGAGGACATAATCCCGGGTTCCAGGTGAATGAAGGGTTCAACTTGGTCCAGTATCTCTTCGCGAAAGTCCCAGCAGGTTTGACGGACATAGGGCTCGCTAAAATGCTCTGCACTTTCCAGCCCATCGACGATGTCGCGCAAAATATCATTCCGAGTTGCCGGTTCGAGGGTGTCCCAGTCATTTTCTAAATCGTCGAGTTGTTTATAAAAGTTGCCCTCCTTTCGGAAACATAAACCGTTGGGAGGAAGAGGATACATGGGCTGAAAGTAAAAGGTTCGGATCCGTGGGGATGCTCTCCCAAGCCCAATTTTTAGAGCACCGCTGATATACCTCCCCAACCTTGGGGGTACTGCGTAGGTCACTGTGTCGTTCCACGGCTGGACCGACGCTGATATCACGTCCTCGATGACGGAGTATAGGTCGCGGTGAGAACCGGGGTGGAGATTGCTGATGTAGCTCTCAATCCTGAGTTTGCAGTCATCTCCATCGGGGTTTTGAAACTTGACGTCGCATGGGAGCCACTGGAATTTGTTTGAATACCGCCAAAATTTCTCGTCTGACCATCTTGGCCAATAATTATCGCCGAGGACTTCCTTCATGTCGAGTAGGTGAGGAGTGACAACCGACTGGGGTCCACAGTCAATCTTCTGCCATAAATTATCTAGGCTGACTTCTTCACCATCGGGCAGGACTTTTGTGAGTCCATAAACGAGTGGATAGAGTGAAGGGTCAACAATTTTTAAGATGCGGTCGTCCTTGTCTAGTCGCCAGTTGGAATCTTCAAGATCTGTGTTATCGACCATGCTTTGCACTAGTACCTTGAGCTTCGCACCGGTTGGACCGAGGATATCTCGTCGTGACTTTGAGATCCGGGGTCCAGCATCATAAACAGCCACTCGTCCGGTACGAGCGAACTCCACGGCCTTGTCCCTCAGCTCCTCGACACACCAGGCCCAGGCCCGTCGACTCATGAGCCGTTCGCGAGCCACGGCTTCGGCCCTCCACGAAGCCGCAACCTCATCGTCGAAGATCTTGGTCTCCCAACCAGGTTTGTCTGTTATCGAATTCATGACCCGGAGCATGGCTAGTTCACGAGCCGTGATGCGATTTTCGAATGCCCAGTCAAGTATCCCATGGGCAAATCGCTGACTCCAGTCGAGCTCGGCGTTCGAGGCCATTTCAGGCCTTTGAGAAGGTTCTGCGACATGGTCTCTGTCATGACTATGATCACGCTCCATCGGTTGCATTTTGACTTTTCGAGTTTCCCTGAGCGGGTTGAGCGGGTTGAGCAGGTTGAGCACTGTTGAGCACTGTTGAGCAGGTACATCGATATCTCTCAGAGTCGGGCGAATGCAACCGACTAACAAAGCCACGGAGTGCGTAATAAGTGGTTTTTCAGAAGGAAAGTCAAAAGGGTTGGGCGAATCTGCCTTCCCGACCGAGTAAAATGTGATGTTATATTAATTAATATATGAATATATTCTTGCCATGACTAGATGTACCTCTGTAGATGTTGGACGAACTGTTGCTCCGTTGAAACCTGGAATGTCAGGTAGAATTTTAGGAAATTTCATCCAAGGAACTGGACAGACGGAATTTGGAGGAATCTAACTTCTTTTCTATAGATTCCTAGGTTTTACATGCGACCCTCTCCGTATCCAACTCACAGGATAAAACCAACATTCGCATAATAGCATTCAAAGGTATTAGTATTAGTTAGCGGACGAGGAGTGGTGAGCGAGATAGGACTGAAATATCAGGCAAGAACTTCAGTAATTAGGCTCACAGATATATTTTATTTGTAAATATCTTCGGAGGTGAAAACTGTACACAGGTACTTCTCATCAGATTTTACCTTTTAACCACTGCACCATATTCTATCGAGCGACATTGAATGCCAGCGAGAACCTTCTTCTTAGCTAGAGCTTAGAACATCTTTATTATACATGTCAATGTGAGAAGTGGTTGATCCAAGTAATAAATTTAAATCTCTAGCAGTTCCGGAGGTCTGTCTCGTAAGTCCCTAGGGTATTCACAGCGTTTACGTGTCCTGGCATGCCTCTAACATCCCCCTGAACTAGACCCGTAGTCTGTGCCGGCACCTGTCCAGCCCGTATCTGAGCCATGATGTTGTTAAAGATGGCAGTGTCTGCATTTGAAGTGGCCCCAGACCGACGCATAGTTGCGCCGATATCAAGGATGTTCCTGAAAGTTTTCCCTCCTGGGGCAGTTTGTGTCTTTTTCTGGACATTAACCACATGCCACTGACCATTGGAATCTATCCACTGTACCGTCTTTCTGCCTCGATTGTTTCGGTTGCCTCCTCGATTGCCTCCTCGATTTCCGCCTCGATTTCCTCGATTGTTGCGATTGTTATTGGCGAAATCGGTGAAAGCCCTCCCTAGGTTGGTACCGAGATCAATACTTCGCAACTCCTTGGCCTTTTCCGCCGCATCGATAGACTTTAGGAGATCAGGGTCGCCGTCAGGAATCAAGGCCCTAACCCGCGGGATGTCGCTGGCGCCACCCCTAACATCGCGAACCGAGTCAATGTAGAAGTCCAACTTTTTGGCCAGGGACGGATTGTTCATGTTGATGCTGCCCGGCTGGTTGGTGTTCAGCCAGGTCGCATAATCTGAATGCATCCTCGGCTCATCGAACTCGTTGTAAGTATATGACCAGGCTGGAGTAACGTATGTCTGGAAGCGCTTTCCGACTTCGTCGACGTCTGGGTTGGTCGTGTGAGGGTCACCAGCAGTGTTCGGGTTCGGATTCCAATTCACCCCTGTCTTCGAAACGTATCGGACGAACTCCAGGAACGTGCACATGCCGCCGTTGGCAGTTGAGCCGGGGCAGCCTGCAGCAATCTTGGTGTTGGCGGCGCCCCGGATTCTGTATTCCATCTTGTAGGCGAAATATTGCGACAGGAGCTCGAAGCTGACGCTGTCCTTGGTCGCATGAAGGGGAGGCAGAAAACATGCCCAAAGGACCAGGGCCAACAGGATGGTATTCATCTCTTGTGTGGGGAAGAAAAATGACAATAGAAAGACAGACTCTGAGAATGGGAGTGATGTGTTCAATTCTTTGCAGGACTTGTGAGCGTTGATAGGAAATACGAGATAATGAACGATGAGTTCCGGGGTCGTCTGCCGGGTGAATGCCCGGAGAGCATCGCCCTTTTCAAGATAAACGGCATTCTGTGCTGGGCACTCAACGGCCCTTGAGACACCTGAATCCCGAATCTGCCTTCATTCGAAGGTGAGCCTTGCCGGCGACTACTCTCAGCGTCGTTTCGAACGGGACTGTGTGCCCGGTCGAGAGGGGTGTGCTTGTCTTCAACTCCCGTCTGCTCCATTAGGACAGTCATGTCCGACATCTTTACAGATGGTCCGATTGTATTCTGTAAAAGAAGGCGTTGTTATCCACGATAAAATGGCAATGAGAGTGAGACGCTCTCGAGGCATGTTTGCCAAGATGAAATAAATCGTCCCATCTAGGTGTTGATCCTTCGGGCTGTGTGTGTTACACGGAAGGACGCAAGACGCTGTTGGAATATGGGACAACGAACAAAGATACCCCTATTCCGATTAATTAATCAAAGGAATCGAAGTCTGACCATCCTTCCGACCGAACCGTGTAACCGTAGGCTTTTTCTCCGGCGCCGAGGCCGGACGCCGCACCAGCCACGGCGGCACGGGCGGCCGTGTGTGCCGGGTCCAAATTATTGCGAGGCCGAATTAAACGCGGCAAGTCTCCACGCCAGATCAAAAGCGAACTGCCTTGCATATGTTGTTACTCTAGCTTGGGCGAACTTTCTAAGATCAAATGTCATTTTAATCGCGTCCCATATTGCAGGCGTACTGGTCTCTATGAGATGGTCAAGTCAAGGCAGAACTAGCGACGCATTGGAGGAGGAAAGAGCGATTAGTCGAAGAAAGCCGAGGCGGATTCTCCATGTCTCTCGACCCCGTCTGCATCATAGCCGTTCTCTACAGTCTTTTGAATCGAGGATAAATTCCCATCAAGAAGTATCATATTTTCGCTGGTCCCTCCTCCGAATCGTGTCTCTCCTCTCCCCTGTCCACCCAAGAATACTCCTTACACCAAAGGACAAACTCATACTTGACATCTAGCATTTTCCTTCGAGTCCCTCAAGATGGCGATCATATCGCTATCTCTGCTTTCCCTTTTTCTTCATCTCCAGTCAGCAGTAGCTGTCAAACCCACTCCACCCTCGCCATGTGCCGTCTCTTGCCAATCTGCACTGCAGGAGGCTGGCCTTTGGTCTCAAATCCATGACTTGCGCCAGCTCAATGCCTGCGATGACACCACCGTCTTTGAGATGGCCATCTACAACAAAGTCGATGACCCAAACACGCATTTGACTCTCAAAGCGTGTTCCGTTCCGAAAAATTCGGCCTCTGTTCGCCGAGAGACAGCGGTAGCGGCCGACATCTCATCGTCCACCAAAGGTTGCACCGACGAGGCCGAGATCACCCAAACCAAGGTAGATCTTCAGCGCGTAGTGCGGGACGCCTCAGATCAGACAATTTCTCTTGACGACGTTTCCAAAGCGGCCGATGCTCTATCCGCCCATTTGGGTAAGGAGACCAACTGCAGAACGACCGCCCTATTCGCCAAATCCGGCTCTACTATCATCGGAATGTACGCGGGAGCAGCTATCCAGAAAGGCAGCGCGATGGCCCTCCTGGATAGATTCTCCTCAGAGCTTCAGTCGGATCCGCGTGGCAGCCAAGCGTCGGTGCAACTCTGTGGTGACCGACGCCAAAGCTCGCTTGTCACCGGTATTTTTGTCGATAACAGGGGCAATGTGTCGGCCGTTCAGGAGGCCGTCCGAACATGGAGCGATGCCGGCTGCATCACGAACTACGATGAAGAACACACCATGAGCGAGGTGGAGATTGGATTGCTACCCATCCTCTCTATTCCCTTGTCTAGAGTGAGAACTGAGATGGATAATGGTAGCAGAAAGGAACTAGAAGCTCGATCTCTAACGGCTCGCGCCGAGTGCAAAGCCGTCGAAGTGGTTTCTGGTGACAGCTGCTGGTCTATCACCCAAAGCTGCGGCATTACCCAACAAGAACTCGAGAAATACAATCCCATCGACAGGTTATGTGAACCTAACGTTCTCCAGATCGGGCAGACGCTCTGCTGTTCCGAAGGAAGTCTCCCGGACTACTCGCCTAAGCCAGACGCTGATGGGAATTGCCTTGCACACACCATTGTCAAAGATGACACCTGCGCCAAGCTTGCAGCGCAGTACAAGACCACAGTTGATAAAATCATCGAGGCCAATAAACAAAGCTGGGGTTGGGTGAATTGCGAAAGCCTCGGTGAGACCCAGGTCATTTGTCTGGGCCCTGTTCCACCCCCGATGCCGTCCATCAACCCAGATGCCCAATGCGGCCCGCAGAAGCCTGGTACGGTGAGACCGCCAGACGGAACGAATCTGGAAGAGCTGAACCCGTGCCCGCTGAACGCCTGTTGTGATGCCTGGGGAATGTGCGGGATCACGGAAGAGTTCTGTACGCCAAGCCCGGCCGATTCGGGGGCGCCGGGAGCCACGAAGCCCGGGACCAACGGTTGTTTCTCGAATTGTGGCACGGATATTGTCAATAACGATCAGCCGCCTAAAGATCCGTTCATCAACCTCGCCTACTTCGAGGCGTGGAACATGGAGCGGCCCTGTGCCAATCTTGACGTTCTAAACATCCCCGACCGATACACCCACGTCCACTTCGCCTTTGTGGATGTTACTCCCGACTTTGCCATTGACACTTCCAAAGTGCAAGAACAATGGGATCGCTTCCTAAAGCTGGAGCACGCCAAGCGCATTGTCTCGTTTGGCGGCTGGGCCTTTTCCACCGAGAATGCAACCTATAAGATCTTCCGGCAGGCCGTTACGAAGGACTACCGAGAACAGTTTTCCACCAACTTGGTCAACTTCATAGAGTCTAACAACTTGGATGGTGTTGACTTTGATTGGGAGTATCCAGGAGCGCCAGATCTCCCGGTCGACGACCCAGACGACCCTAACAATGGGAATGTATACCTTGAGTTTTGAGTCTCATGCGGGAAAAGCTGCCGAAGAGCAAGACGGTCGCTATAGCGGCACCCGCTTCTTTCTGGTATCTCAAAGCCTATCCGATGGGTGAGATTGCTAAGATTGTGGATTATGTTGTTTACATGACTTATGATCTCCACGGGCAATGGGATTATAAGAACTGGTGGGCGAGGTACGTCAATCGGCTTTTCTCCCCTTTCTTCCTCTTCCTCTTTTCCCTGCTAGTTTCTTTGCAACTAACAGTAGAAATGCTCCAGCCCTGGTTGCTCCCCGCAGTCGGAAGGCTTAGGAAATTGCTTGCGATCACACATCAACTGGACGGAGACAGAAAGCGCCCTATCCATGATCACCAAGGCCGGCGTTCCGTCGACAAAGGTATTAGTCGGAATCACCAGCTACGGTCGAAGCTTTAAGATGGCAGAAGCCGGTTGCACGGGACCGCAGTGTAGGTTTGTCGGAACCGGCGAAAAATTCGAATCCGCGGCGCTTCCCGGAGAATGCACGGGCACAGCAGGTTATTTATCGGAGTACGAAATTCGACAGATCATCCGCATGGCCGAATACCCAGGGGAAACGTGGCCGGACTGGGATATCGCAGACGATGAGGAGTCGACCGAGGACTTATATGTGTCTGAGCCTACCTTTGAGACTTGGTACGACGAGGACTCTCAGTCCGATATCCTCGTCTATGGCGAGACTGAGTGGGTGGCATGGATGGACGACGTCACGAAGCGCGAGCGCGTGGAAAGGTATAAAGCGATGAACTTTGCTGGCGTTTCGGACTGGGCCGTCGACCTTTCAGTCGGTTACGATTTCACAAAGGAAAATGAAAACGACGGACAGGAAGAAGGGGTGGACCCATGCGACCTAAACCGCAGTTTCAATGACCTCCAGGACCTCGAGCAGAATGGTGCCGACCTCTCAAACCATTGCGCGGGCATCCACGCACTCAAGATCCTCCGCAGCATGCTCACCGAAGCGGTGGGAAAGTACGACAATCTGGACCAAAACTACGACTCTCGATTCAAATACTACGAGGAAGCAATGAGAGGGATGGCCAAGAGTAACTTGGGTAAATGCATGGCCTGGTCCAGTAACGGACCTTGTAATAAGTATTTTACGTGCTCTTGGTCTGAGAATAACCAGGAGAAGGCTAAGGGAACATGTCCGCTATCTGGCTATAATGCGAACGATCTCGCAACCTTTACGCTTACCTATCAACTCAACGACGAAGATGGCTTCTACAAAACCCTGCAAGAAGAGTTCGGCGTTAGCAAGGACTGGGTCAAAATCGAAGACGTCACCATAAAGGACAAGTGCATCGGCACCGCACCTCCGCCGGGAGCGAACCCTCGACCGGTGTCTGAGGAACCGATAAGCCGAAGACAATGCGAGAAATTCCAGAAGGAGTATAAGGGGTATCCCGTGATACGCGACGACGCCGAGATCCCCAACCCAAAAGAAGTCGTTAAAGCGGCCAAGGAAAATCTCGACGAAATGAATCTGGAGCTTACCGTATCCTCGATCGAGCTTCTCCTTGGACTTTGGGAGGGCGAGGTCAACGAACTCGTTGAGGTTATGGCGATGCCGGTGTTGCTGGTGGTGCAGTCGATAGAGTCAATGGAGAAAGTGAAAGAGATTGGCGAGGAGATTGAGGAGCAGAAGAGGGAGCAAAAGATGAAGGATATCATCTTCGGAGTCTTGATGGCGGCGTTCTTCCTTATCCCTGTTGCGGGAGAGGCGGCTTTGGCTTTGGGCTGGACTACGCTCACAATTGCCCGGATAGCCGCCATCATCGGCCTGGCGGGAGATGCGGCGCTGTCGGCATATAGTGCCGTCGAGGATCCGGAATCAGCTCTCTTGGAAGCACTGCTCATGCTCATTCCGGGACGTGGTCTTACGAGGAACAAGGACAATGTTTCTAACATCTTTAAGAAGAAGAAGGCCGGAGGGGGCGAGGCTCTCCGAGCCATGGGAGACCTGTGGAAGAAGCACGACACAAGCATTCAGAATATTGTTAGCGTGTGTAGGAGGAAATGATGGATTATATAGCTAAGCTCTTATTGGAGTTGGCTTGCTATTAAACAGGCAGATTCCATTAGTCTTTAGACTTCTATATGAGAATGTTTACTCTTCTTTGCTATAAAGAGACCCTCCATCGCTAGCAGTATGGAGTTTGCACTAAAATCGAGGGATTATGCCTTTTTCTTCTCTCTATACATTTTTAATTTGCATAACCGGTAGTAAATGCCAATTAGAATTTTTCTGCCCTACGAGCCTGAAATAAGGGCCTCAGCTTCTTCTGAAAGGCCGCAGTTGTATCTCAGAAACCAGCTTGCTGAACACACATACGATCCTATCTTCCTGTCATTGGCTTCTCCGCCGACCAATTCTGTGCCAAGGTGGCTCAGATGACCATACGAGAAGGTCTTCAAGAAGAGAGAATTGACCTCGCAACTTGGCGCTGAAAACCGGGCCACATCTCTTTACATTGTTCTCGATCGGGCCCTGCCTTTCGAGTTTGGCTTATTCTTGCTCTCCCCGTTAACCGTCTTGCCATCGAACTCTGCACTATTATGAACTTCCAAAACAAGGGTCTCATCCCCTGGATACATAGATACACGGTTTCTTACTTGCGTCCTGAGCCGCTGGACCTCCTCTCCTAAGTCTCTGCACTGGTATCCCAGTTCCCAGTTTTTAGACACCTCATGCCTAAGTCTTTCCCTCAATAAATCAAGCTCCCTCTCCAGCTCGCGAATTCTCCTGCTCAAGTCCCGCATATCTTTTTCCTTCTCGCGCTCAGCCACCAGCGCCGCCCGGGGCTTCGATGGTTGGTATTCCCGATCAAAGAGAGGGATGTTGTTTTCGGGCCGTCCGCTAAGTCTCCAAACTTCCTCAATCAGGTCTTTCCATAGATATCCACGCTCCCAATCCTTGGAAATTTCCTGGTTTATAAGTTCTTTGAGTTCGGATAAGAGGCGGAGGATGTCGTGGGCCTTGGCGTCGAGATCCGTCATCGCTGAGCACGATTGGTCTGTGGGCTTCGCTGTTGTAGCGAGCGGGGAGGAGGGTATCACGCGGGATAATGCGCTTTCCCCTTGTCGGCTCCAATTCCCTTGCAGCGGAGGATCTGTTTATTCTTTAGCTATAGAACGTGGAGCCGGTTCAGTTCGGTGGTGTTGAGGCTACGTCGCTTCATGACGGTTGGGCATCAACCCCCAATATGCCAATGTGCCCAGTATCTACCATTGGTTGAGCGACTTTCACAGACTTTTTATCCCACGAGCAAACATCAGGGCCAGCAGAAGCTCGTCACCCTTCAGCACTCCTCGTTGTTGCTCGGTCTGCCGTATGAGAAATTCTACCACTATTTACTATCTGGTGTATAGCGGCTAAGATGAGCGATGGTGATCTGGCACTCGAGTATTCACGGCTGGAGCACCTTTACCCCGAGGACCCTACAGCGAGGGTGGAAGTAGAGTATATTCCCCCCTTTCACTCTGTTCTTATGGTTCGAGCACCTAATTTGAGATCCTGATGGTGGTGGTGGCGACAGCATCGTTCTAGTCCCCGGACTTGGAGGACATTACGTGAAAACATGGGAGGCCGGTGACAAGACCGTCTGGCCGCGCGACCTCCTATTCCAGAACATCCGGGATTTACGAGAGAACATCCCGAAAATACGAGTGCTATCTTTTCAATATAACACCACACTCAGGGGTACAACGAGCGAGGCTGGTCTCAGGGATCACGCCGGAGACCTACTCAACAAGATCTTTAACGATCGAGAGGATGACGAGTCAGCTACCTTGAGGCCGATTATATTCGTCGGTCATAGTTTGGGCGGGATTCTCATTAAGAGAGTTAGTACTAGTTGTTTTCCTACTACATGAACCCCAAGCACACCAAGTTAGTTTAGATTATAGAATATTAACCATGTGTCCATCCAAGGCACTGAAGGCGGCTCATGATAAAAAGAAATATCGTTCTTTATGGGAGGCGAGTCGAGGCATAGTCAGTAGATCCCTATCAACTTTCACGTAATATGAGAGACCAAGTAACAGAGCCGATGATGATAATGGTTTTAGATGTTCTTTGCAACGCCACATTGGGGCATCGATCGGTCGTCATGGAGGGACTTCCTCCGCCATGTATTGCAGTACGATGCGCCAGTCCCAGATGCTGAACCCACAGGGAAGATGTTGAGGGATCTTAAGGAAAATAGCGGTACCATCTTGGGCATATCCAGTGACTTTAAGCCTCTACATGGAGATTTGGCTTTTGTGACATTTATGGAGGATAGGCCAATGAAGGGGCTCAAGTACGTCGTACGTGATCCAAACCCTGGCTCAACTCACCGAGACACACACATACATACACACACACACGAGCTCTCTCTTTTCCTTATGAGCTGAATTTATTGGATAACTAATGGCACCACTACTTAAAAGCTGTTAGATGAGGGCCGCGGAGCCATGCGCGCGCCTACAGAACGCGTGCAGAACTTGTCTGGGGACCACGTTGAAATCTGCAAGTTCGGAAAAGACGACGATAGTAAAGATGCCTTCCAAACGGTTCAGGATGATATTGAATGGCTGATTGGGCAGAAACCAAAAGCGATAGGTTCGTCCTCGGAGGGAATCCTACCTATTGGCCAAGTCCAATATTACTGGTGCTAACCACTTGCAAACGATCCCGAGGAAGTAGATCGTATCGGATATGAAGAGAAACGGGCTCTCTACTCTCTGTGTTCAGACCAGTTTCACTCTTATTTCTTGGATAAAACCGCCACTGCAGGAACCTGTAATTGGATACTCGAACGCCAGCAGTTCAAAGACTGGCTAGACAATAAGCCTGGCAAGCGGAAGCTCTGGATCCAGGGCCAACCAGCTTGTGGCAAGAGCTTTATGGCAAGGCACATCATCACCGACGTCGTCCCATCTAAATCTCAACACGCTGTGGCTCATTGTTTTCTCACTGACTCCGTCCCAGCACGCGGCGATCTTCAGGCACTGCTACGGGCGACCCTTCATCAGGCGTTGCGGCTTGTACCTGACCTAGTCACGAAGTATCTTCTTCCGAGGTTTAAAAAGGCGCAGGAACGAGAGGTCGGTGACCAGGAGATCTGGACAGCGGACACTCTGAGAGATGTTTGGCCTGATGCTATGGCCGAGGTCACGGCGCGTCGTGATCTGGTGGTCGTCATTGATGGGTTTGACGAACTCCGGAGAAAATGCCAGGAAGCATTTCTGGACTGCCTTGAGAAATTCGAGAAGATATCTCCAACCCCCCCAAAACTCAGATTGCTAGTGCTGTCCCGTGAAAGTCATGGAATTGAGTCGCTGCCTACTCGGTTTGTTGAGGCATTTGAGACGTACACAGTGAAGCCCGAGGATACTAGAAAGGATATCCTAAAGACCGTGAAGGCGGGGATGGGCTATATCTGGAACCGTGTGGCAGGGAATACCGCATATCTTGATCGAGGAGAGACATGCGAGACCATCGTTGAACGTTCGAAGGGGAGGTACCTATGGGCGACGTTGGTAGTCGAGGAATTGAACCGGACACGCGTCATCAACGAGATTCAAATACAAAGGATAATCCAGAGCGCTCCGCAAGACATCACAGGGCTTTACGGTCGCATTTTAGAAAAGATGTGCGAGAAAAAACAGACCAGAGTGTCATTCATCAAGCAGGTTCTGCTATGGGCTGTTTTCCAACAAGAAAGACTCCAAGTGGCCGGCTTCAACATCGGCAAAGCCTTGGGCATGGCTATGGAGATGTACCCCCGAAAGAAAATTACTAGCCAGGAGGCGGAGGAATTCCTTGACGGGAATGTCGAGACCAAGGTTGATTTATATTGTGGTCAGCTTGTCCAGTTTCGGCATGGGCGCCTAGAACTGGTTCACAGGAGCTTCAAGGAGTACCTTCTCATGGATCTCCCAAAGAAAGCTAGCAAACCCTTCCTCGGGGGGCTTTACTTGGGCTGGGAGCATTCTCACGCAACGCTCGCAAATATCTGCATCGCATACTTGACCTTACCCTATTTTGAGGACTCTGGAACCTCACTAGAGGCTGGGCGGATGGATCTATGGGAGTCTAAGGTGCGTAGAAGGATCTGGAAGCATCCGTTTGTGAGGTATGCTTCGCTCTACTGGTACAAGCATCTCAGTGCGGCGGGTAAAGCCTGGCCTGGTAATGGCAACCGCCAAGTTAAGGAGGAACAAAGGCAAATGCTAGAGGACGCCACAACGGGATATGCGAAGTGCTGGACGGAAGTCTGGTGGTTTTACACGAGAGGGCCTACCCAAGTGTATCCACAAGAGCGTCTCGCCAGGAAGATAATCTCTATGTCAAAGCCTTCCATAGCGCTCAAAGAGGAACCGGCAACGGCTTCTCCATCCGAAACGAAGAAACCCACGGGGGCAGAAAAACCGCCCAGTTTATCTCGAGACAAGCCATCCGTTGTGGGAAATTCTCCCGCCGAGTCAAAAACTGCAAACGCACCCGTCGCCTCACCTATCCCCGAAGCACGTCCAGAGTTCATGCCGAGAGGCAAAGCAGATAGAGTTGACGCAGTCAAACGCGAGTCATCCAACACCCCTAAACGGCAACACCAATTCTCAGAAAGCCCAAAGTCTGTGCCAACAAGCCCCGCGCAGTCCAGAAGGGACCCATCCCTGAACGAAGCTCCCAGGAAGAAACAACTTCAAGATACTCTGCCCAATAACAACGAGCCACCCTGGGATAAGGAGTCCAAGACGGAGCCGCCCAAAGTAAGGCCCCCGCAGGAAACATCTCCCGAAGCCGGAAAAGGCAAGCGCCCGGGTTGGTGGGCCCGAGTGAAGAGAGCAGGGACATCTTTCGGTAAGCCACCTTGTTTCAATCAGAGACGTTCTCCTGTGAGAATAGTCATGTAAGGCGGCTAACAGCGTTTTATGCAGTGTACGAGGCATTGGATTTCGAGCCATGAATCACCAGATAATGGAAAGTCGGAGGGTTCTCCAAGGAAAGGAAACAGAAGCATCTAATTTCCTAGCTTGCCAAATCCGCCACTGCCATTTAGTAACTTCTTTCAGTGAACTCTAAGGATATGGTCAAGAAATACTGATTCAGTCATCCAATGGTCTTGCGCTAGGCCCTGCCACTGCTGAATGACATGCTCTTCCCGAACAGCCGCGAAAGGAAACTCCCGCTCTCCTCTGCCAGTGGCGATCGTCCACTGCTATTGGTGGTGGTAGTATCCCTAGCGGGTCTGACACGGCGGTATGCAGGGACTGCATCCCCGGCCTGTCGGTACTCTGAACCTTTATTATCCCGCATTAGGAGGAAGTTTGCATCGTTCATGTCCGGGGTTGGGGCTGTATATTCAAGCATCATGACCCGAACAGAACTCCCGCCCCTCATGCTCCGAGGATTCACTTCTTCTACTTCGACTTGTTGATGGCTTACTTCAGCGTCATCATCGCTCAGTCCGCCGTCGGCATCAGAATCGGCACCAACGGCATCCTCGATACGCTGGCACACCTCAATAAAGGCGGGGTCTTCGTCGTTCTCGAACTGACACATGCCAACGTGGTCAGCGCCGACGGCGACGGCCTCCTCGCCGTCAATCATCATGCGGGCGCTCGTCTCGTCAACGATACACTTCTTGGTATTAGGCCATACGCAAGTCTCATAGAAGTTGATGATCTTGTACTTGGGTGCGATCTCGCGGAAGTCTTCTTCGATCTCCTGGAGGTCATCTGAGTCACGAATCATGGCCTTGACGAGGGGTGAAACATTGCTCTTCCCGTTTCCTCCTATTGATCGGTCGAGTGGGGAGAATGCTTTGGCAATGAGTTCCCATTGCTTCTTGTCAGAACCAAAGTGAGGCGTGCCGAAGAACATCTGGGTTGATGGGAGGAAGTGTTAGCTGTCAAAGCAAGCAAAGATTCTTCCGGCTAGTATGAAGCGCGCACAAAGAAAGCACTTACAATAGTACGAGTCGCTGAGGCGATGTTTTGGTATTCCTTCTCACCGTTGGCAAAGCACAAAGCCTGGATCCATGAACCGCCGTTAGCAAACGAAAGCAGCCCCCTCCTCTCCTGAGGTGGCCGAGGACAACATGAACGATCGTCGACCTGGACTGACCTGTTTGACGATAAGTCCGCCTAGACAATGTGCTACAAACACTATTGGTCTGTCGGGTTTCGCATGGCGCCGGCGGCCTCTCAACTGGGATACCAACGCTCGAGCATTGCCCCTAATGCCGGCAATCGAATCGTTGCGATGCGTATCTCCGTTGTACCCGAAGGATAGGACTCTCGCATGCGGCAGGTTGAGGGGGAGCAGTTCCTGTGGCCATATGACACCCGAGGCCTTGTGAGTCCATGTTCGTGTTGGGTCTCCGTCGAGGCCGTGGACTAGGATAACACTGTTTGAGCATCGAGCGAGAGCCCGTCAGAACTTCCTTTCTTGAATTCGTTTTTGCCTCATATTGTCAACCGTAGGTTTTTGGCCCGTATTATTACGAAATTAGAACCTACTCGATATTTGGGACCACAAGGACCTCTTTGGAAGGGTCGTAGAGCACCTTGAGCAATAGCCTTTTGGCCATGATATCTAGGTGCGGGCGCGAGTCCGTTCTATTTAAATTTCTCGAGTTTTGTCTTATCGTGTTAGTCGAGCAGTTGGAAGTTGTCTCTATCTAAGTCCTAAAGGAACAGGTGCCATAGGCTTTAACTAACAGTCTTTAAGTGTTCGGGTGAGTCTCTAAGCTGAACCTTCGCCGGCTTGGCGAGTTGGTTCGGTGACTCGGCTCCCTCGGCTTCCTCCAGCCTTCCCAGGCTTTGGGTAGACATCTTGACGCCTAATGTGCACTTTCAAGCCACATTCAAAGGGAACGCGCTCTACGCCCATACATGTTTAGTGTCTTGGTATTTCATATTGTTATGCTTTTGTTCGAAGAGGCTCTGAGGTGTGACACCCAGGACATGTTGGGTAGGATGCATCCGTGACTGGTTCACGAAATGGCCGAATTCAAAGTATCAGCCCAATAACGATGTTGCAAAACGGCAACTTGGGGATCATTGAACCCAAGCTGCTTGCGTCACTTATGCCCAATATGAGATATCATGAAATTCAAATATTTCCGGGGAAGAAGTGACTAGTAACGCCTCGGCAATTGCTTCTTGGATCAACCTGAGGATGACGATTGACTGAAGGCTCAAAGTTTTCGTCCTTCCCTTTATTTCCTTTCCCTTCCCTTCTTTCCTGGATTCAACTACAGCTGATTGTGAGAATTCCCCGTAACCTTGCTTCCCGGCTAACTATCACTCTGTCGTCTTGCTCACTTCCAAAGTGTAACGGCGAGACTAACAAGTACGACTTACAATGGAAAATCAAGAGAGCGGAGGAGACCTCCGCGTCCTATACTCTCCAGCAGCTGATTGTCCTCGACCTATTGAGTATTTATCGATGTCCCCTCCTGGCAAAAGTACGGCCATTAGCACCGTCTGTCAAGCTAACCAAACAAAACAGCATCATAGCCGTCCATGGCCTAAACGGCGACTCCATGAACACATGGACGCACTTCCCAGGCCGCGGCAAGCCAAGCACCATGTGGCTCCGAGATCTCCTGCCTGAGAAACTACCCAGCTCCCGCGTAATGACGTTCCAATACGATGCCTCGGTCGTCGGGAACACGTCCGCGCATGGGGTTCGCGGTAATGCGAGCAAGCTGCTCCAGCTGCTCAGAGACAAGCGGGAGGATAATGTCTGTGTTTTCTCCATTCCCTCCGTCCCTGGAGCTGCGATTACCCATGGACGATTCTGCATGTGCTGACGGCAGAGGTTTTAGGACGATGAAGGTCGCCCCATCGTGTTTGTTGGACACAGCTTGGGGGGCATTATCATCAAGCAGGTAGGAAAGAAATCCTATCTCTGGGGTCATCGAGGTGGAGTCTGTTGAGCGTCATCTTTCTAACGCGTGCAACTATTTCGCAGGCACTGAAGCTGGCAAGCAGCAGCCGAAGATTCTCAGACATTGCCAAGTCCACAAGGGGAATAGTATAACCCACCCACCCTCTCCCTCTTCCCCTTCATCCTCTCCTTCTCTCGCTAACAATGGGAACCTTCCCCGTCAGGTATTCTTCGGAACCCCCCACCGAGGCGCAGACGGCGCAAAATGGCTCGGCCTCCTCACCGGCATCGTCTCAACCGCACTAAACCAGCCCCAGTCCAAATTCATCAAGCTGCTCGAAACTCACTCCGCCGAGCTGCTCAAGGTATCAGAGGACTTCCGACCACTGGCGACCAAGTACGCCATCGTCAGTTTCTACGAGGAGCACGTCGACCGGATCCTGGGGAAACTTGTAAGCTCTCCTCCTCCTCCTCCCCCTCTCGCCAACCGCCTCCGCCACCCTCAGGACATGATGGTGGTTTTCTACGCGGCCATGTAAGAGAAAAAATGAGCTGACTGTTCCCTACTAGGTCGTCGAGAAACTGTCTGCCGTGATGGGGCTAGCTCATGAAGACGTCATGATGCTCGGCGGCGACCACAGATCCATGTGTAGGTTCGCAAGGGGGGATCCGAGGTTCGACACCGTTTGGCGATCCATTCGGCGGGCGGCAAAGGGCGTGTAGCAGAGTTACACCCTCACCATCGGGGTCCCATCTCTGGAGGAAGGAACCACCCAGCCCACGACACCCGCGCACGGAGCAAGAATAAACTATATAGCAGTGAATAAATCCAGGTCCCATCAAGGGATCTACCAGCCAAGCTGAACGGTTAAGCCTTTACCCTCTAGGCAGCTGGTGAAAGCGCTAGAGGTGTTCCTGGTTCGACCCCAGGTTGGATCAGGATGTAATGGGTTTTTCCAAGTAAGCTGGCAGCGGCGGGTCCCGGTAATTTTCTTTTTGTTCCCTCGTTTTATTTATCTATTTTTTTTTAATTTTATTTCTTTTGATAAGTTTATTTGTCTCTCGTTTCAATAGTTTTATCTTCCCATCGGTAGTGTCGGCGGTTTCATGATGAACTGGGATTCGAAAGGTCTTGACAATCCTGACGTGACCTCCTCATGTTGGGGTGTCCGTCTCTCCGCTGTTTGGGTTGGCACTCTCGATCTCTGCATCACATCTATACACCACCGCTCTAACTATCCCGTATTATGATATATATCTATTGATGGATACTGGTAAAGTTACAAGTGTAAAACGATACAAACCAGCTCCAAAACAGAGCGTTCATCCAATCCAGTCCCGTTCGATCCCATCCTCCCAAACCAAGAATCCTCCCCCCCCCCAAAGTTCTCCAGCTGGCATTACGTACGTAGTCCGCTGGAATAACACTACCAATAATAAAAAGAAACCCAAAACACCCTTCTTTACCATACTTTACACAACACGACTCGGACGAAAAGATCTACCAGCCTCCCGAGCGCATGCTTCTTCCTCACCTTGTCCTCGCCCGTGTCCATGTCCGTCTTCTCTCTTCGCTTCTTCTTCTCTTTCCTCTTTTTCTTCCGCGTCTTCCCAGCCCCGGCCCCACGGTGTCCCTACGCCAAAAGCCTATCAGCCATGGTAACGCTATCCCAATCCCTCGGCCCAGGCGCCTGGAAACCCCCGCTCTTCGAAATCACCGTGCCGAGACCCCTGTGCACCTCGGCCTGGAACGGCTCGAACGGCACCCTCTCACCGTCGATGCTGATGTAGCCGTCTTCCTGGTTCCGCGGGGTGATGCGGAAGGCCTTGATCTTGCGGTACGACACGTGTGGGTTGTCGAAGAACTTGCCGCTTTCGACGGAAAGTAAGAGGTTGATCGACGTGGCGGGGGATACGTCGCCGTCGATACAGATGAGGTCAATGAGTCCGTCGTTGGCGCAGGCGGCGCTGAAAAAGTTGGCGTCGGGGGCCATGTATGCCATCTGTAAATTGGGCTTTAGCTCAGAGTTCGTGAATAGAGAGAACGAGGTTGATGCTGTTAACTCACGTTTCCGCAATAAAAGTTGCCCATGTTGTCATAAGAGACAAGCTCCCAGCCTTCGGGCAACTTATCCTTGACGGTGCCGTACTCTAACGGCGGTAGGCCCTCATCGTTCGACGCCGACGAGGTTGCCGCTACGCTAGATCCGGAATCAGCCTCCTCGACCTTCGGTTTGAGGCTGTTGCTGCTGCCGTTCCCGTGCCCATTTCCACTCGCATTCCCGTTCCCATTGCCGTTCGCCAAGGCATGTAGCGAGTGATAGCTACGCACACGTTTATAATGTTCCTTCACACCATCTTTGTCCTCGATCTCGACCTTGACAGCGATATCACATGGATACACCTTCTTCTTGAACAGCCTCACGAGGAAGCCGTATGTGAAACGAGCCCCTCCCATCCATCGGAGATGTTCCGTCGCAAGATCGCTCTCGGCAACCGTTCCCAAAGCTTGACTCAGGAAGCTCAGTATGCGATTGTCTCCCTGCGTGATGCTCACGAGGTCCAAGGGCGCCGAGACTCCCTTGACGATGGCGAGAGCGGCAAACGACGCCCGGTGAGTGCCGTATAGGTTACAGCTCATGGCGTTCCCGGACCCGCAGGGGATATGCGACACAGCCAACTTGCCCAGGGCCCTACGCGCATCGGGTCTCTTTCCCAGCCCGTTGAAGATCTCGTGCGGCAGGCCGTCGCCGGAACAGGCGACAATGGTATCGAATGCGTCTATGTCGACCCCCTGGGCAATCTCGATGGCCTCGCCCGAGTACTTCGTCCGCACCACGTCCAGCGCCATGCGCGCAGCTTCGAAGATGGGTTTCGCCTCATGATCCCAGAGTTTATCGGCTCCTCCGGGACCGGCATGGGGGTTCACCAGAACTTTTGCGCGCTTGCGCAACTTCGCGGGGCCGTAGGCTCTCTCCAATAGGTTGTCGGTCCAGCGGCGGGCGGCGTCGGCGTGGTCATCTTGAACAGAGAGTGTCAAGTTCGCGACGCGCAGCTTCTTGGGGGCTGTTTGGTCGGCGTAGTCGATGGTGAGGGTGGTAGGAGAGGTTAGCTCGGCCCAGAGAACGTTGTAGAGGGGTATCGATTTGGCGTTGGAGGTTGGTTCTGCGCATTCAAGGTTAGACACGGGTGTGAAACGGACAGCGGGGTGGAGCTGAGAAGGCGGCCTTACTCGTGGGACCAAAACCGCAGGTCCTTTTCGGTTTCGTGGGTGTCGATCCTAGTTAATTTTTCAGCACATTAGAATCACAAGCCAAAAATTTCCCAAAAATATTGATGTGACCAAACGACATGGGTTGGGCAGCGCTCACTTGTTAGCAGTAGGGAATCCGGCCCTAGGCTAAGCGTCGAATCCCCATCGACAACGAGAATATCGTCTCCAGCAGCGGCTCCTCCACTGGCCAAGCCAGGAGTGGATTTTACGTCGGCGTGCAGCGCATCGTGGCTACTCGAGGTCATGGCCGGGGCGAGGGAGGCCATGGTGGGCTAGGCTGCGATATCCGGACGAAGGCGGGAGAAAAAGAATTAAAGTTTCGCGTTTCGCAGCGGAGTCGGAGGTCGGGATTTCAGGGGGTCGAGCTGAGAAGCCAAAATCCAAGCCAAAGCCAAGCAGCGGGCGGGAATCACATGCAATGCAAGGGGCAAGGCGAGCCGATCCAGATTTCCGGATTCAGAATCTGGATTGCACAGCGGCTTCTCAGCGTCTCAGCTCCCAAATGCCGGATTCCGGACTCTCGATTCCAGAGCTCAAGCGAGTCGAATGGGAAGCGCAGCCAACGGAACGTGCGAGGGTGGGATAGTAATTTGAATTTGTCGGGCTGCAGCACAGAGTCGGACAGAAGACACACGCAGAGGATTGGAGGATTATGGGTGGCTTCGCAGGAGCTGGATTAATAAACGAGGGAGACGGGAAAAAAAAAGGGTATCGTATTGTATCAATGGGTATCCAGACAGCAAGGGAAGAAATAGTAAAATGCTAGATCAAACGGAGAGACTGAAGAAGCTAGTCCCAAGGGTATGAGAAGCGAGAGATAAGACAAAAAGAACAGGAGAGAATCAAGCTCTAGCCGGACGGGGTCAACGGGATCATATGGCCCCAAGATGTGATGTCTCGGGGTCTGGTGGTGTTTGTGGTGGTGGGTTGTGTCGTGGAGAGATGCAAAAGAGCGAAAGGGGCAGCGAGAGAATTGCGAAGTAAATAAATGTAGTTAATAAGACAGGATACGAAGGTCGAACCCAGCAAAGTCTCAAGATTGGGTTGCGGTGGGCACATTGGCCTCGAGCTAGCGTAGTCTTTGCGAGGGAGCGGTGGTGGTGGAAAAAAGACTCGGCCGAGGCATTCGACGAGGTTTAAGTCAAATATTATGAAGATTAAACACAAAGGTATGATGAACTGAATACGAAGTCGGAAATTCTAAATTCTCAATTCTGCGTTGAGACATTCCTGGGATCCTTGCGGCCCTTTACGTTGCACTTTCCGCCTGTGGAATCTGCATTGGCATTGATGTCACCACACCTCGACCCAAACAGCAATTGCGCCGTGGTCTCCTCCTTCCACGTCAATGTCATCAATGTCCCGACGAGGCATCAACGAGCCAATCCGTTCTTGCCCAAGTACAAGTAAAGACGAAGTACACAACGGAAGTAGACTTCGGTCGTGAGACTGTCCGCAATCCCCGATTCTCCATCCGTTTATGAATGCGAATCAAGTACGTACAAATGGTCCATTCTTTCAAATAATACTTCGCACAAGTAGCATGGAAGATAATACATACATCGCCAGGTCCCGGCCCCAAATACCACCCGACCATCCACTCCGTCAACGTCGTAACAATACTCACCCCTGCGAAGGACAACCATACATCTCTAGGGAGCATCACAGAGATGGATATCTGTATAGTAAAAATATCTCTTCCTTTATCTACGGGAGACCGAAGCCATCACATCCTTTGTCCAGACTCCTTCCTAGCGGAAGCTTCGGATATGCACCCCGCAAATCTCCTCATCGGGGAGGATTCGCCACCTTTTGACAGACAGGGGACAGGGGGCTGCGCTGCACAGGGCCAGGGACAGATCCACTCCGGTCCGGTTCAGCCGCCTGAACCATTCGTGCGTTTCTCCTGAGGCAGCAGGGTAGTGTGGGTAGTAGATTATTCAAACAATCGACCAAGAGCCTTTAGATGCGAGTCGTGTGCCTCGGTATGTGTATATCTCAAATCTAAGCCTTACCGTTGATGATGGCTTCAAATCCTATCATTACCCACGATGATAAGCAGCAAGGAACATAGAATACATACAGCCTAACCTCGAGCGCCTAGAACAGCCCATACACAACAAACAAAACGTACAAGTACACGAAATGCTCATTCTCCATTTTCCATTGTTTTTGCCAAACTTTTTCTACCTGCATAATATCTCTCCTCCCATGCTCCTTTTCACCCTCGCATCTAACTCTTCCATTCTTTTCCCCCATGTTCAGAGAACGATGAAGGAGATGCCGCATCTATCTGGTCCTCACCAACGAACTCCACTCAACATTGCTGTTTTGCTTTTGCCTCAAACCCTTTAGATCAAGCCTACTCCCGCTTCCATCGTAGCTGTACTGTGTTTTTCAAGATTTCCCCTACAAGAACCAAGTCTAGTGTGATCTCTCTTACCAGTTCTTTAAGCAAGCCTCGTCACCCTCGGCCATCTCTCCCCAGCCGCCTTCTTAAAAGCCCCCACCTCCCCACTCCTCCACGCCTTCAACGTCTCCAAAACCTCCTGCGCCACCTCCGGGTCCGCGTCTTTCAACCCGACAACATCCAGCAGCTTCTTCTCGAGGGCGCTCTTGTCGACGCCGCCGAGGAGCTTCTGCGCGCGCACGGCGGCAAGGACGTGTCGCGCGCTGTCCTTGTTGGCCGCGAGGAACTCGTCGTTGATCTCGTCGAGGTCCGCCGAGTCGGCGATGTCGGGGAACTCGCTCTTGATTACCGAGACGACCTTGACGGGCAGGGACGCGCCCGCGGGCTCGACGACGTGGCGGAACTCGATGATTCGCTCGTGGACCTTGGGGTTGGTGCTGTCGAGCGCGATGGCGGAGTTGAGGCACTGCAGCGCAAGCAGATACTTCTCTGTAAGGAAAAAGAAACAAATGTTAGTAAAAAGACAAAATGATCAAAGCTGGAGAATGTGAGACGAAAACGTACTGCGTCGAATGTAGACATCGAACCCAGCAAGCTGCGCATCCAGCCTCTTCGGCGTATACTGCAACAGAGGCGTAAGGAACTTGACCGCCTCCTTCAAAGGATCCTTAGTCGCCGCAAGCGTAAGACCGAGCGGGTCCTCGTCCACCTTCTTAGCCTCGCCGCCCGCAGCCGGTTTGGGCTTGTTAGGATCTCGCTTGGCAGCTTGCTCCGCAACCTCCCTCTCCAACCGCTGCTTCTCTTTCCGCGCCTTGCGCGCAGCCTTCTTTCTCTCCTGGTCGTCATCTCCGTTCGCGCCATCCGCTCCATTCACGCCGTTGGCCGACGGCTTGTCGTGCATCTTAAGGTACACGTCAACGGCATCCAGGGCCGCTCTCGTGTAGAAGGGGTGCTCGTACAGACGGTCCTCCCATCGGACCATGTCCACATAGGCCCGCACCTGGCCCTTTCTAAGATAGAAGCTGTGGAAGTCGAACTGGTCGTCATGCCACACTTCGAAAATGTTGAAGATTTGGTGAAACCTCTTGAGAGCCATGCCGATGTTGCCCCGTCGTGCGTACGCCTCTCCGTCTTCCGTGAGGAACCAGAGGCACTGCATGTCGAGGAGATCGTTAATCGGTCCACCGGGCGTGTCGGCTCGTGTGAATAGCCCCATCGTCTTGAGCGCCTTTTCGTTCTCGTCGTTACGGAGCTGGTACTTCGCAGCCTTGGTGTTAATGTAACGATCCTTGGTATCGAGTGACCGCGCCTTATCCATGACCTCGGCTGCCTTGGCAAGGTCTCCGGTGTGCTTGTGTATTCTGGCCTTGGTCATGTGGAAGTCGACGCTATCAGGTATCCTCTCGATTGCGCGGTCAATGTATTCCTGGGCCTTGGCCAGGTCTCTACTGAGGTGGTAGTTGTAGTGTTGTGCGAGATAGTATAATCCGGCGGTCTCTCCTTTGGACTCGTCGCTCTTCTCTTTGCTATCGGTATCGGTCTTGCTTCGCGATTCGGTGTACTCGGAAACTAGTTTTAGGAGGGTGTCCTTCTTGAACGTGTCGGAGTAGAGATGCTTAAGGTTGGCAAATGTAGACGGGATGCCCTTGTCCAGCATGAAGGCCAAATAAGTCCTTGCAGCGTCAACAAAGTCGTCTCCTATAATACGACAGTGAAAAGGTTAGCAGCACGTAACTTAGCCGTGGGTAGCGATCTCTAGGCACCGCATGGAAGAGTGGAAGAATCATCTTACCCTGGAGGAAGTCAAGGGGCAACCTCTTAGCGGCATCGCTACGGGGGAACTTGGCCGCGTACTCGTCAAAGATGGCTTTGCGACCAGCGGCGTCGTCCTTGGCGACACCAGAGACGGACAGGAGGCCCTCGTAGTACTCGGGATGTTCAGGATTCCTCTCGATTAGGACGCGGTACGCACGGGCAGCTTCCTCGTTTTGTTCGAGCTTGGCCAAGTACTCAGCTCGCCTTTCTAGCACGGCGAGGCGGTCGAGGTTATGCTTAGCGCCGGTCTCGAGATGCTCCAACGCACGCTTATAGTCGCCCTGCTCTGCGATGAGAGAGTTCTTATACATAACGGCCTCCGAGTTCTCAAAGTCTAGGCGGGAAGGTGCCGTCTTCAGCGTCTCTTCATAGGTCGTAAGAACCCTCTCGGCTTCAGCGAGGTCGCCGGCGAGGTGGTGGGCAACGGCAAGGGCGGTCCAGACTTGGCGGAATTTGGGGCGGGCCTGGAGCATGGTATAGCGGCTCTGGATGTGTCCTTGGTAGTCCCTCATCTGGATCTGGAGAATGGCAAGGTCGCGCTGAATCTGGTTGTTGTCGGGATCGAGCTTCAAAGCAAACTTGTACGCCTTGATAGCCTCCTCGAAGTTCTTAACCGAGCGGTACAGCAAGCCGTAAACATGCCAGCAGATGTGCGACTTCATGTCGACGGTTAGGGCTTCCTTGGCTAGCGCAAAGGCCTCGTCCGTCTTTCCCTGGGCATTCATGATGAGCGCCTTCATGGCCATGGTGTCACCATGTTTGGGGACCTTTTTAAGGATCAGGTCGGCCGTCTTGATGCCACGTTTGTACTGCTTGTCCTCATAGTTGCGGATGACTTGGCGAAAGAGTGACGCCTCTTTCGCATTTAAAGGTTGCGGCATCGCGGCGGATTTGTGAGGAGGGAAATCGTTAGGAAATTTCGAACGGCGGGGAGCTGCTGCTGGTCGGGATAGATACGGAGGGGCGGTCTAGAGGAAGGGGGGGTAGGAGGAACAGAGCGCCGCGGGGTGGATGATGGCCTACCGAAAACATGCACAGGTCAGCAAAACAGGTCAAGGGTAGAAGAATCCGTCGCAAGCATTGTCTATCCATATAAACAAAGACGAATAATTGATCCTAATCTGCCTAACAGGTTCCAAAGGCGGCACGCGACTTTCGAGGGGTAGGGCTGAGGGGTTGGTGATGGCTTGAGGGGGATGAGACCCAAGTGCGCACGGCTACGTTTGACAATCGAGAGAGGAAGAGGAGAAAGACTCACTTTCGGATAATTAGCACTGCCTCTGGGACCCGAGAAACGGAGCCGATGGCGAGGTCAGAAAAGGGAGAGAAGTTGGTGAGGGTCCGGGGATTCGAAGCTGTTGGTGACAGGAAATTATGTATGACTCGGAGTATTTTTTGAAGCTGCTCAAGGCCGCGGGTGAAGATCAAAAAGGTGGTGTGGATCAGCAAACCTGCACCCTGCACCAATGACAAAAGCAAAAGGTGAAGAGATCGAAGAAAATTTGCACCTGCTTGGGGGTGAACTAGAGGCTAAAAAAAGCAGAGGTGATGCAGCCTCATACGTGCAAAGTTTAGTGGAGGGTGGTGCCAAGCTGTCCCGCACCAAAACCGGCTGTTGTGGGAACAAGTCAAGGCTGAGGCTTAAGATCGAATATTTGCATATGAACGGGGAATCAATTTGTTTGAAATGGATTCTCCCACCCCGTGCTCGTGCAAGATCAATCCAGTAATCAGATATATCCTTACAGTCGCAAGGAAAACTGGTCTCTTTGTTGGTTGAATTGCATTCCTCGAAGCTATTCCACAGTAGCGGGGTCTATCTATTATGGGGGTTATTTACAATGGTGTTGTACAAGTGATTCGTTCATAGTTCGTGATACCACAACCCCCACTTCTTTTTTTCGGCCACATTATCTCCTAGCAACAAAGGAGGGGTGTTTCTCCAAAGATCGAGCAAGGTGTCAGCTGGAGGGTCGGCTCTTGTTCTTCGACCAGGCTTCGAACGCTGCGTCCCAGCTGCTGGGGCTCTCTCCGCATCGCTCTTGTACTATGCCCCATGTCCGCATTCGCACGATATTCTCCACGGTTCTTTCCTGCCGAACAAGGCTCGCAAGCATCTCCGTCCGCGGTTCCTTAGGGAAGAACCGACCCGAGTAAGGGTCCAGCCGCTCATCCACTATCCTCTGCCTATCCTTTTCTGATTCCGCCTCCCGAAGCGCCGTGTCAGGATCATCGGGATCGGGACTCGTGGCAACCATTGCGCAGTAGTTCAGCACTTCGGTACGGACCTGCCATGTCGGGAATAATATCTTGTCCTTGAATGACGCACATGCTTGGGGCTCGATGGTATGGGTCATGGATCTAGGTCCAAGTCGTTCGGTTGACTGCGGGTCGAAGCCTTGACGGGATGGTCGCACGAGCGCATTGAGCTGCTGGGATATGGAGTCGTCGAGTGACGAACGGGAGAGACGTAAGAAGTCTTTCACACAATGTTAGCTGCCACCAATTCCTGCTTCTCAGGTCAAGGGGTGCTCAGATGATGACGTATAGAGTTCCCCTGGCAGACCTAAACTCACCTCGTAACGTCCCAGACGAGAAACACAGCTGAGGGGTCAGCTGCGGAGTGTCTCGCCTAGCATTCATTGTGGAGAGTGAAGCCGATAGTTGATCGGTAGGGTTGGTATTGGAGGACGAGGGCGAGGCGGGAGGAGCAGCATCCGCTTTGGGAGCTGGTTTGGAGCTGGACCAGAGTGACCACGCCACGATGACTCTGTGTACAATCGCGACTTGCGAGCAGTTGTTCAAATTGGAAAGACGCAAGCTATCGCAATGAACCCGGAGGAGAGGTTGCCGTCGTATGCCTGGCAAAAGTACACAGGTATATAGTGAATAGATCTTACAAGAGAATAGACGGGTTTTTGCAACGAACGATCGATGCTGTCATGGCTCGATCTGCGCCACCTATGAGGCTGGAGGCAAGAAGCCTCAACGCTTGGTATTATTACATAAGCGAATCCGATGAGAGTACCTCGTCGATGTCTCATCCAAAGCCAAAGCTACTGTACGTACCACTTCGTACGAACGAGTCTGACCAGTGGAAGGAAGGCACGGTGGATGGGCCACTGAGCATGCAAGGATCTTGACTGCTTTTGCTAGCGAAGCTACACTGCTTCGTACATGGGCACTATCAGAGTTGCTGCGAGTCCACACGCCCTCAACAAATCTCACCCTTCATTCTGAATTAATCTTCTGGAAGAAGAATGTCGATGTCAGAATCGTAGTCTACCTCGGTCAGCACGGCAACAGGGGGGCACAAGTGCACTCAAGGGGCTTGAGCAATTAATATTACGAAGTCTGTCATATTATTGTCAATCAACCTGGTCAGGAACCCGGAAGCAATGCAAGGCACCAGAATCGAATCCCAGCTGACGATCTCCTGTCCAATCTTCGAAAGCTTTGGTCACCACCGGACGCTAAATCCACAACCCCGGCGAGGACTTTCGTATGAGCACTCCATCCTACTGCAGGGGTGCTTTCTGTACGACTGTGCACTGACATTCCAAGATATTCCTTCCCAGTCGATCTCTTCCTCAAAATACTGAATCGCTGACGTCCACCTTGGACTCGCATTGCATTGGCTTTACGCCACCGCAAGACTTTGTCGTATGTTGGAGCTTCGCTCGCCGAATTGCGGTGTGCGGGTGCGGGTTCATTTTTCCCTTTCCCCGCCTCTGTTTTTGCCCTTCTTCCATCACGAATATAGGATCTTCATATCGTGATCTTGTCGCAGAGTCGATAATTCTGAACAAGGGACTGAGCTGAGGCAGAATGCTCGCGAATAGAAGGTCCCAAGAAAAACACTCCAACAGCGTCATGTACGGCCCACGGGGACAGGCCGGAGGCCACGCTATTCAGACGCTCGTTCCTCTTCAGGCTTAACCCGCCAATTGATCGACCGAGAACAGCAACCATTGGCCTATACTCCCACCTGGACCCTGCCCACTCGCTGTCACCTTGGGCACCACTCACGGGGATCCATCAATAAATACATGCTTTGCAGTTTAGTCTATTTGCGGTGGTGTGGATGCCTCTGCGTTCTGACCTCCCCAACTTATCAGGGGCCGCCAATAATAAGAACTATTCTGCATTGGCTTTTTCCCGAGAAAGAACAAAAAATGGACCGGGTCTCCTTTTTCTCTCCCTTTAAACCTCTGTATATACTAGACGTAACCCTCGGACGGGCGTTAGTAGGCGCTCCCCTCTCATTCCAGTCGTTTTTAACCTTCCTGCCGTCCCTCCCTTTCAATGAGCTTGATGTCCCTTAGTGACGACGCTTCGGTCTCCTCGCCCCGCCATGAGACCGCGGCTATGTTTTCCCCACAGTTAGGACGGGCGAGAGGACTCGCCAAGCTCGAGGGAAAGGCGCAAACCGTTTCCAAGAGCGTAAAGACAATCGCCGCTACTCTCAACTCCGCGCCGGTCACTCTAGCGGCAGTCGCTAGGGAATGTAGCTTAACTGCCGATGCTATCGAACAGGCCGGACGCCTCCCGCGGATCATCCCGGGCATTGAGGAGCTCGTGTGGCCGCTGTCTAACTTGCTGACACAAATACAAAGCTTGATCGATCGGATTCCATACTCGGAGAGCGGCGACCAGGATAGTCAATTGGTTATTGTCTGGAACGAGTCGGCCATTAAGAAGGCGACGGCAAGTTTAAGGGCTATTAGAACATCGCTCTTGACATTGCTGAACCATTCGATCACGCAAGTATAACCCCTCGAATATCGATAGCATTCCAGAGAGCTGCCCCCACTAACAAAGCAAATTCCCCATAGTGACAAGAATGCCACGGCTATAAGTGTGAAGGGAAGCTCAGCCATGTCAACGAGAAGCCATGATGCCGAGAGCTCATTCGGCTTTTCCCTCTCAAGCTTCTCCGTCTCAGGGACACGCCCACCAACCCGCGCATCGAGTATGGCCCTATCACTCGTCTCTCGAAGAGAGCGCCAACTATGTCAGCTCCTCCACCTGGCCATTGACAAGAAGAAGAGTGCCGCCGTCGTGGAATTACTTCACCAGGGAGCCGACCCCAACTTACGAAAGGCTGGCTCGACACTACTGCCTCTTCACCGAGCGATCAACCTCGAGGATGAGGAGCTGGCAACCGTACTGGCAGTGGGAGGAGCAAACGTCAACATCCCAGATGGGGACGATCACGGAAGGGCCGCGCTGAGCAAAGCTATCGTGCGTGGATTCTCTGGCAAGTTCACTGCGGCTCTCTGTGAAATGGGAGCCAACGTCGCGGCGGTGGATAGCAATGGTGCCTCAGCACTTCACCACGCGGCACTACTTGATAGAGAGGATGATACCATTGGCGTCCTCATACTCGCAGGAGCGGACGTAAATCTACGAGACCAGCAAGGATTCACTCCTCTAGCCACGGCGGTCTCGCGAAGCCGTTACAGGTCCGCGAGACAGCTTCTCGAATACGGAGCAGACCTAGGAACGAAGCTCCCGGGCGAGAAACCTATTCTACATCTCGCCATCCAGGAACGGGACCGGGCGTTATGCGACCTGCTAATCGAGTGGGAGGCGGACATCGAGGAAGAGTATCACGACCACTCGCCTTTGGTATTTGCAATTACCATGGCCTGCTTCGATATTGCACACAGCTTGATTAATGCCGGCGCCGATATCAATCGAAGATGCAGCAATGGAAATTTCCCGCTACTGGCAGCCATCTCGGCCGAACATGTGGCTCTTACGAATCAACTTTTCGAACTCGAGGCTGCTGTTAACGTGGCAGGTTCGCGGGGGTATTATCCCATTCACATGGCAGCTCACAGGAACAGAGTCGACATGCTCCGTCAACTGGTGGCCGCCGGGTCCGAGATAGATCCCGAGACGACAGAAGGCGAGACGCCCCTATGGCTCGCCGTAAAGCTCCGAAACCAGGAAGCCATCGACTTCCTCATTGACGTCGGCGCCGACATCAACCACCGCATCAACCCCAAGGAGACGATGCTCTCCATCGCCGTCGAAACTAACCAAAGAACGATAGCCCAAACCCTCATCAACTCGGGCGCCGACACGACCGCCCTCCTCATCGACGACGACGGCACCGAATCCACGCCTCTCCACCTCGCCGCCGAGTTCGGCCTCAACGACATCCTCCGGCTCATGGCCGACGCGGGCGCGAACCTCGAATCCAAGGTCTGGCCGGGCTACACCCCTCTCTTCTCGGCTGTTCGAGCGGGAAATCTCCCGACCGTCAAGACGCTCGTTAGGAGCGGAGCGAGCACCCAGGCGAGGTCGCTTGCGGGCGAGACCGTCCTCTTCGTCTCGACAGCCCATGTCCCCGTTCTCAAGTACCTCCTCGATCTCGGCATCAACGTCAATCACCGGGATCACTACGGCGCGACAGCGCTCCATCATGCTGGGAGTCAGGGTCGTCTCGCGGCTGCCAAGGTCTTGTTACAGCATGGGGCGAAGTCTCTGCATGCTAATGTGGTGTATGACTCGCTCGACGACTTCAAGGCTGGGTCGAGGTACAGGCAGGGGACGCCTGCGGGCCTGGCGAGACAGAAGGGGCATAGAAAAGTTGCCGACGTTATTGACCGGTGGAAGTATAAGCGATGATTTCCCCGCAAAGTGAAATATAAAACGAGCCTTGGAAGAAGCGAGAGGAGAAGCGAGGTGCCTCCCACCCCCTTTCGGCACGATCCTCGCTTCAGTGGACATTTTCGTCCCAACGCGCAATCTGGGCTTGCCTTCTTTGAACAACCCCGCCTCCTTTCGGCACCTGATCATCGTCTCTTCTTTTCTCGGGCCTCGTTTAGGAAGAATCAAGAAGAAAAGGGGTGGTATGGTCTTCCTTTCCGGGGGGAAGTGCAAGTGCCGGATAAGGTTGAATTCTGTGACAACTGGTCGCCTCGGCATGTGGATGTCGTCCGGGCGTTCTAGCCTCCAGATTACATCCAAAATTACACGATCATACCGGCTCAACTGAGTAGGGAGAGGGGGAGGTAGGGGGCACGCATCGGATCGTGTCTGAAGAGCACGGCCTATCCGTCGACAGTATCTATGGACCCCAATCCGCTCGGGAGACTATGTCTGTTTAGCCCCTGTCTTTCCTCTGCCCGGAATCTTTTTATCTTTTCGTTTGATGTTTTAATGGTTGTAGAGATTTGGCGTCTCTCTCGAACGAGGTCGTTCAGTGACACGGCCGGAAGAGGGACCCGGATCGGCACTGGATTGGCCCCACCCTCCACCATAGGGGTAGCTTCTAAAGCTCCGGCCAACGAGGCCGAAAAGCTATGTGAGACGGTCGGGGTAGCGGAACTACGTGGAACCCCCGTCTATGCGCCTCTTTCACTCCTTATCCTTATTTTTTTTTCCTTTTTCACTCTGTATAAGAATAACAATATCAGCCCCATCATATCTCACTTGCCACTTCTAGGCTCATAAAATCCTACCTTATAACCTTTATCCTACCCTGTCACTGTCACCCGGTTTCCTTCCTGCGCCCTCCACCAAATCGAAGGGGAAAGAAAGAAAGTAACTCTCTCGGGGTTACATCGGGCTGGAATTAAGTCTAAACACATCTCACGACAAAGTTCCCAAACAAGGGGGTGGGCCGGGCA